CAAAGTTTGTGGGCAGTGAGCAGTGGGCAGTGGACAGTGGGGAGTCGGGGAGAGAAGCGCAGTTTAAAAGCATGAATTAGTTTGGTTTTGGCGAATCGAATTGTTTCGAAATCATGCGGAGTGCTAATGCGTATGTGAAGTGCCTATCCTCGGGCGGACTTACCGAGCGCCGTTGGGCCGGCCGGCAGCAGCACCACCTGTCCGCGGCTGGCCTCCCGCGAGTACTGCAGGCCCACCGTGGCGGGCGACATGGAAATCACTGATTCAATGGGTAATGCATCTACAAAACGCAACGGAAAAGAGATAGAACCAAAATAGAGAGGCGGAGAAAAGATGGGATTTCTTCGGGATCTTCACACAGTGGTGGTGATCTTATGTTCTGGTGGCAGGGGGGGGCAACTCACTTGGATACTGCCAGAATGTGGAGGGAGCACGGCTCACACCTGCCGCACTGAGAGCCAGTTCCTCGGCGGTGGCCGTGCCGGTTGTCATCAGGTCGCCGTTGCCCGTAAAGTACAAATTGCCGCAACTGGTGGCACCTGCAACGAGGCAAAACAAATGCTTATTTCCTGGCGCTTCAATATATTATATATTATTCGTATATGTAAAGTAGTAATTCTGCGGAACCACCTGCCAACCTCTCCGCTCGACGTTCGTTTGTTTAATAGACTTTCGGGCCTGCCGTGTAACTTTAGTTGTAAGGGAAGATGTGTATGTATACGTGAAATATTGCAGTGTCCTTGAACTATGCATTTGGTGACCGCCTGCGCCCGCCCACTCGCCGCCCACTAGCCAGCCAGCCACCCACTCACTTTACACATCAGTAACCCACCCCTGAAACTGCGGCTGGATTATTTTACAAAAATTCGATTAAACCGAACGCGATGCGTTGTAATTGCATTACATTAAGGGATCTCTGTAGTGGGCAAACCACCACCCCAGCAAACGAAATGAATGACAAGTATTGGCAGTATGTGCCATCTCCGAAACGCAATTAGAGCCACATCTTTTGACAAGTGATTTGTTTCGGGCTGCGGACCTACAACTACCCAGCAAACGTTTATAAATAGCCTGTGACTTGGCGCAGCCGAAACGGAAGGGAAAAGAAATAATAATAACTAAAGCTATGTTAAGGCGACGCTGCCATATGGTCGTGTACCCAATCCATTTCAGCGTGTCATGTTGCTGGGTCCTGTCCTGTCTTGTCCTGTCCCGTTCACGGTTGTGGATGACGACTCATTCCGGTTGAAGTCCCATCCCCGTGCGAAACCAGTCGAGCATCCATCCAGCTCTAGCATCCCCTGATGCTGCTGGCCTCCTTGTCCCTTGTTCCTGGTTACCCTTACCCTGATTCCTGACTACCTCTAAGCACCGCCTCCCCCGAAGCAACAGCCACCGCTAACTTGTCTGAAAAAATACACCCACCCCTGTGCTCCGTCCATGAGTAATCTGTCTTTGGATTCTCGCTCTGATGTGCCTTCCCCTCCACCATCCGCCCACGCTTATAGAGCTTCAGGTTCAGCTTCAGCTTCAGCTTCGGTGGAGCGTGATAACGAAGCCGAAGCCCCCAATGCCCTGCTCACTGCCGAAGCATAAGTAATCCGCATACTTTTGTCAACTTTATAAAGGTTTTTTGGGTAACGAAAAGTACCAGGGCCTGGCTGGTATATTCCAAGACCACAAAAATCTAAAACTTATCAACGGAAAAAAACCCCAATCGTTTGTTTAATTTTTTTTTTTTTGCTTCAGAATTTTATATTAGTTTAGAGCTTTTGTGATCAGTTGGTACTAAATAAATTCCTAGAAAATAAAAAAAAAAACCCCAAAAGCAACTATTGATTTTGCCTTTCATTTTCATACACAAAAATAATGAAAGTTCAAAACGCACTAAGTTGTCTAAAGTTCTGTGTGCTTTTATCATCTGTTATTTTGTTTACTAAATGACTATTGCACTTAAATAAATAGATTAGACTTATTGAACGGATTGCTGGTAAATTTTGTATTTTGTTTAAGCGAAATTCAGAAAAAGAAATTTACAAAAGTAAATATTATTTAAAGCAGAAAGAATGTATCTAAAACGCAAAAATGTCCATTTATTTGGTGTATGTATCTATAATTTTAAAATATGTCACATCTGTTAATATTTGATCTGAATTCGAACCCCAAACCAAAGGCATTGTTTTTTTTCGTAAGATCGTAAAATAATGAAGATAAAGTTACAGCTGAATATTTCGCCATCAGAGAGCTTAAAAAATAATTCCGAAAATAGAATATGACGGGGTGTTGCGACAACACACCCCCAAGTACATAAACATATTTAATGTGCCCATCTGAAGAGCAGTTTGAAGTCGACAAAAGCCAAAGTCGAAGCCTCCCCTCTACAATCGCAATGTGTTTCACTTTCGTTTTATTTCCGCTTTAGAAGTTCGTATGATTTACCACCGGTTTCCTTGTGCCCGCAAGGGAGGCAAAAGGGAAGTGTGCTCCTGGCTCGAGTCGATTCGAGTCGATTCGGTGGCTGTCACAACAACGACAGCCGCACAACAGGCGGCCATCATATGATTCCTGCCCTCTCAACTCTCAACTCTGACGGGGTGTTAACGGCGGAGACGGAAACGACACCCCCAGCTCGCGCTCACTGAAGGAATTCCGCAACAACGTTCAACGTTTGCTGGCAATCTTATTAGTGGCATAATTGAACGACGTCCACGTCCTGGCATTATAAGCATCATACAACTAGTGCCCCTTGGGAACGCGAGCGCAAACGCGAGTGCGGCGTTCATTAGGGCCGCTCAAATCTGGTCCCTCAATTGAATTAGATGTCCAAAGATTACACAAAGGGAAAATTATATATGATATGAATATACTTAATAGGGCTTTACATATCATAGTAATACCATTAATATACAATCTATATTTTCAAACATTTGCATATAACATGATCAATTGAATTAGATAAAAAAGTGAAAAAGGTAAGATATATATGATATATATACTTAAGAGGCCTTCATTGGAGGAGATACCATTAACATTCAATGTACATATATTTTTAAATATATGCAAATACTGTTCATGATTTTTAGCCACAGTGCTATTCCAAAAATACCTGGATATTTTAAAGGGCTTGGTTTAATAAACATCCAAACAAAAATTAGTCAGTATCTTTTTATGTTTTTGTAATTTGATATTTGATTTTCTATTGAAATAAAATAGGCAGATATTTCTGGTACATAATTGTATATATATGTACATATGTATATTTTCATTTTTCCCTGTGTAGTTTGACACTTACCGAGGTCAGCGACGCGTATGCCAAAGCAGTTCATGTCCTTGTTGAGTGGTGGCTGCAGGGGCAGCGTGGCGGGTGTGTTTAGAGCCGGCACCAGGGCTTCCTGCGGCCGTTTCCTGGCCACGGCGATGCCAATGGGCACTGAGTTGCCTGCCGGAATAGGGACTTGCTCGTGAGTAGCTCACTTGACCAGTTGATGGGCCATCACCTACCTGAGGACTTTTCCAGTTCCGAGACCTTTGGCGAGGGCGCCTCTATTTTCACCAGCGTGGTCAAGGTGGAGGAGGACATGGTCTTGGAGGAGGCTGTCATCGAGGCGGAGGAGAGACCCTGATGCTGCACCTGCTGCACCTGCTGCACCTGCTGCTGATGCTGCTGCTGCTGTTGTTGTTGGTGGCAATTGTTGGAGCTGATCTCGGACACCTGGCAGGGCTCCCGCTTGATCTGCACAAAGGTGTAGGACGAGGAGTTGGTCTGCTGATGGTGATGGTGCTGTTGCAGGGGCGCCGCCGTGTAGCCACCAAACTGGTCCAACTGCAGCTGGGCAGGATGGGCAGCAGCAGCCGCAGAATGCGACACTGACGAGGAGGTGGGCACCAAAAATGTGGTCGTTGTGGCGCTCAGGACATCGGCGGCACTGCTGCTGGCACCCGGATTAAAGGCTGCCATCTAGATCTTATAGCTATATCTATATATCGCTATATATTACACGGATATGGCCACGACTAAAACTAAAACGTCCATTATCCGCACACACACACACTGACACTGACTTGGGCACACACATACAGTCTACATTTTTACAGGTTTTCGCTGCCTCTTTTTTTGGATGCATTGGCTACTGGGCCTGGGCCTGCGGCAGTTCCCCGTAAACAAATGACATAATCCAAAGCGACGCGACGCCACTGGGCACTCTCTATAAGGTCGGAGAATCTCAAAGCACCCACAAACACTAATCGCAAGTCCCAAAATAAAAAACCCTGTGCGATCCGAGATCTTTTTTTCTTTTTTGGGAGGCGGGGACGACGGAGGCGCGACTTTCCTGCTGCGTTATTGCGTTTTTCCGCGGTTCTTCAACGATATTTCACGCACTAGCTAAAATGATATTGGCCAACGCGCGATCTGTTGCCGTATTTTGTGTTTTTATTTTGCAAATTGGAATTAAAATCCTCTGGAAAGTCCACGGGACGGACAAAAAGCAGCAAATTATTAGAGGTGGAGAAATATCGCTGCTAACATCGCTATATTCAACACATCGGTAATATCGATTCATGGCTGGAGCTATCGATTAATTTCCATCTCTTATGAGTAATGGTCACACCACATAACAAAATTCAAAGCTCTTACGTTGTAAACGATTTCCCTTCAATTACCTTCTAGTTTTCAATAAAGTAATTACGCATTCACTTATCTAAATGCAGTAATATAAACTGAAATTAATAAGAATTTTGTTTTATTTCCACATGATTCGAGCGGATGTAATATTAAGTTCACAGCGACATCAAGGCGTAAGCCAATTTTCTTACGTCACGATTACTTTTTACGTAGCTTTGTTATCGATAAAATAAGATCCGGGCAATTCGAATGGGTATTAAATGGAACTTTCAGCAAAATTACGATTAGATGGGTTTACTATATATTTCTTTTCATTACTCTCTATTGCAAATGGACTATTGACTCAACAACACAAAAACTGAAAAACAAGTTTAAATAAAACCTTAATAACATCATCTCACAGATGAAGTGTCAAACTTTATTTCCCATCACACAATAACAAATAACCGTCGGTAAGAAATGCACATGGAATATAGAAGTTAACGAATGCAATTACTAATCCAGCATTTTGCGGATCATGTAGTTCAGAATGCCACCGTTCTTGTAATATGTAATGTCCACTTCGGTGTCAAAGCGGAGCGTGGTCTCAAACACATTGCCATCAGCCTCGACCTGGATCCTCTGGCCCGGCTTCAGTTCCTCCTCAGGCAGGGCTATATTGAACAGCTCCCTGCCACTCAGATTCAGCGACTCGGCACTCTGTCCCGGCAGGAATTGCAGTGGGATGATGCCCATGCCCACCAGATTGGAGCGGTGAATGCGCTCGTACGACTCGGCGATCACCGCCTTGATGCCCAGCAGGAATGGACCCTTGGCGGCCCAATCCCGCGAGCTTCCACTGCCGTAGTCCTTGCCCACGACCAGAACCAGCGGCGTGCCCTCCTCCGCATACCGCTCCGCCGCATCAAAGATGTCCATCTCCTCGCCACTGGGCACGTGCAGGGTGTTGGGCCCGGTTTTGGAGGCCAACCTGTTGACCAGACGGATATTGGCGAAGGTTCCGCGCGCCATCACCGCATCATTGCCGCGTCTTGACCCATATGAATTGAAGTCGCGAGGCGTCAGTCCCCGCTCCGACAGGTATCGCGCCGCAGGGGATTTCCGGGCAATGGATCCGGCTGGCGAGATATGATCGGTGGTCACCGAGTCACCCAGCAGCAGCAGACAGCGAGCCTTCTCGATGCTCCTCAAACTGGGCAGCTCCCGGGTCATTCCCTCGAAGAAGGGCGGACGTTTGATGTAGGTCGATACTCCACTCCAGGGATACAGCTTGCCGTCGGACACCTCAAGCGTCTGCCAGTCCTTGGAACCCAGCTGGATTTTGCCTGTAAAGGGGATACAATTATAACTATACGGAATTATTTAGGCAGAAATACTCACTGTACACCTCCTGGAACATGGCCGGAATGACGTGCTTTTGCTCCACCTCCTGGATCTCCGATCTCGTTGGCCAGATGTCCTGCAAGAAGACGTCCTTTCCATTGGCGTCCACGCCCAGAGGTTCCTTTTCGAAGTCAATGTCCACACGTCCTGCAATGGCATAGGCGATCACCAACAGCGGACTTGCCAGGTAGTTGGCCCTGGTATTGGGATGGATGCGACCCTCGAAGTTGCGGTTCCCCGACAGCACTCCACAGCAGACCAGACCGTTCTTCTCGATGGTGTTAACCATGTTCTCATCCAGTGGGCCCGAGTTGCCGATGCAGGTCATGCAACCGTATCCCACTATGTCAAAGCCTAATTTCTCCAGGTAGGGAATCACCCCCGACTCCCGCAGATAGTAGGTAACCACGCCGGAGCCGGGCGACAATGAGGTCTTGATATAAGGCAGGATGTTCAGGCCCTTCTCCACGGCCTTCTTGGCCAGAAGTCCTGCACCTAGCATCACCGAGGGATTCGAGGTGTTCGTGCAGGAAGTAATGGCCGCAATCACAACCGAGCCATGGCCTATCTTGTAGCTCTTGCCGTCGTCCCACTGGAACTCGCCACTGGCAGACAAGGCACTTGGCGGCACGGCGAATCCCTTGAACCCCACGGGACTGGACAGGCACGACTTGAAGTCTTCGCACATGCTGGTCACGGAGACACGATCGTGCGGCCTCTTGGGGCCCGAAACCGAGGTGACCACGGTGGATAGATCCAGGGTCACAGACTGAAAGGATTGGGTAGAGTTTAGAAGTGAGTTTCAGTCATTAAAAAGGCCAATATCACTCACCTCTGTATACTGGGGATCCTGATCTTCGAGGGAATAGTCACGCAGCTGTCGAGTTGCCTTTAAATACTGCCGGATGATATTGATCTTCTTTTCGGAGCGATCTATGAAGCAATATTCATTAATACACCAAATGGAAGCTACCAAGATGAACTCACTAGTCTGTCGCATGTAATTTAGAGTGTTCTCATCGATGGGAAAGTAACCGACTGTGGCTCCATATTCCGGGCACATATTGCTGATGGTGGCGCGATCCGCAATGCTCAACTCCGCCACTCCGGGTCCATAGAACTCCACGAACTTGCCCACTACGCCCAGCTGGCGCAGGTGCTTGGTGATGGTCAGCACCAGATCGGTGGAGGTGGCCAGAGGGCCCAGTTTGCCCACCAGCTTATAGCCGATCACCTCGGGCAGCAGCATGGATATGGACTGGCCCAGCATCACGGCCTCCGCCTCGATGCCGCCCACGCCCCAGCCGAGCACGCCCAAGCCGTTGATCATGGTGGTGTGTGAGTCCGTGCCAACGACGCTATCCGGATACAGGATCTTGGAGCCATCGGCTGCTTCTGTTTCGAAGACCACGCGTGCCAGATACTCCAGATTAACCTGGTGGACAATGCCAGAGCCGGGTGGCACAATCAGCATGTTGTCAAAGGCACGGGCTCCCCACTTGAGGAATGTAAAGCGCTCCTTGTTGCGCTGGAACTCCAGGGACTCGTTCTTGGTCATAGCGTCCGAGGAGCGGACAAAATCCACCTGAACGGAGTGGTCAATAACCAGGTCGGCGGGGCAGATGGGGTTGATCCTCTCCGGATTGCCGCCCAGTTCGCGGACCGCATCCCGCATGGCAGCGAAATCCACAACGGCAGGAACGCCAGTAAAGTCCTAAAAAAAAATAACAAAGCCTTAAGAATGAACATATATGGATTATGACCTATGGCCAACCTGCAATATAACACGCGCTGGCTTGAAGGAGACCTCCACATCGCTGGTTTCCTGCCTCAGCGATGGTGTCCAGCCCAGGATGCTCTGGACATCCTTCTCCAGCACATGGAAATTGTCGCAGTTGCGCACCGCGGATTCCAGCAGAACGCGAATGGAAAAGGGCAATGAATCTGTGGAGGGCCAAAATAATAATATATGTACATATGTATGTATGTAGATAACAACAATAATAAAGATTAAAGAACAGTCACCATATTTGTTGTCGATGGAGGGCAAATCGAAATACTTGTAGACGCTGCCGTCTTGGGTGAATGATTCCTGGAACTGGGCAAAGGGATTGGCACCTGCAAAGGATCAGTTATCAGCTAATGGATCAGTTTTCCCAGTTAAATCCTACCGGAGCCGGACATGGTGGCGAAATTGGACAGAACTGAATTCCAAGTAATGTGAACTAGAGATGGAACAACATGGAACTTAAGTTGTAAAAAAAATAGCACGGAAATATGAACCGTTGGTTTTTAAAATTTCTTATTAAAATCAACTTTTATTTTATTCATTTGGACTATTTACCTAAATTTGAGTTTTTAGACAAGTAATTTATAGTCTTGAACTTGAAAATAGTTTAGTCACGATTTAGACACTGACCCATCTCTAATTTGAAACTGTTCTTTCAGTTATCGATAACTGGTCAACAAATGAAGCCGGAATACAGTAAAAAAAATGTTGAGTTCAAAAACTTTTTGGACAAAATAATTATTTCGAGTTTCTTTTTATATTCAAAGCTAAAGTTTATTTAATTTATTATTCCTTGTTTAAATCTAGAATTTTGAGTATATAAGAATATATACTTATTTCCACCTTTTTAGAATTCGTTAAAACACAATTTTACGAAAAACACTGCTCTATCCTTACACTAAAAATACATTTGTACAAATATGATGTTTTGTTCTGTGGTTTATTGTAATAGTTACATATTAAGCTTATTGTAATGTCACGTATCATAGTCGGTATCTGTTATCTATATAAATAATATGTATAGGGTTATCAATTACGGCTGCGTCAAGAGCAAAGCAAGCGTTTTGGCAGCGGGCATAGGATAACAAGTCGATAGTGCATATCCACATCTACAGGTAGATGCGACGGAGGTCCTTCGGCGTGGTGATCGAATTGCACTGCGGGCACAGCTTGCGCGCCCCCAGAGTCTGCAGCCAGCACTGCTCGCAGTGGACGTGCCAGCAGGACACGGAGATGGCGGGATTCTTGTAGTCGTCGATGCAGATCAGGCACTTGTACTTCCCCTGCGCCTGCTTCTCGTAGAGTCGCAGCTTGGCCTTCAGCGATTCGATGACCTGCTGCTGGTTCTGGGAAGCGGAACGCGTGGACCGCGACGTGGATGGCTCCTCTCTGGCGGATAACGTCGCCTCAACGTTGCTGATTGTGGCAGTCTCTTGCTCGGTGGCTGCTTCGCTGGAATGATTGGCCTTGGGCGGCCCATCGCTGGAGGAGATTAGGCGGCGCACATAGCTGGTCACATCTGCCTCGGACACATTGCCTTCCGGGTCCTCGTTAACCAGCGGAATCACATCGCCCTCGCCGTACTGGTTTGGCCCGTAAATGTGCGTATCGTCCTCGTCCACATTGAGATCCTCGTCCTCATCCTCCTGCGCCTGCTGGCTGCCATTGTACTTGATCGTCTGGCCCAGCCCCAGGGCGGAGTAGCCTCCCTGGACGAGCGTGGACACGCGAATGCGCTTTTGTCCTGCCCACTCGTACTCCTCGTATTCCTCGCTGTCCTCCGAGTCCTCGCTGGAATGCCGCTCCCCGTTGGCCTGGCCATTCCGGCGGCTCTGGCGCAGGCAGTGGTTGACATGCTCCTGGATGTTGGACTGCGGGAAGTTGTGGTTGCACACGGGACAGGTGGGTTGACTGGACTCTGGAGGTGCGGGGGGAGGAGGCGGAGGAGCTGCAGTTGGAGCCGAAGCAGCTGGTGCAGGATTAGGCGCTGGTGGACCAGGAGATGCTGGACGCTTCCTGGTGCGCTGGCGCTGGCGGGCCTGCCGGTTGCGCTGCACTCGCTGAAATACGCTCCACGGCTGTCTGCCTCCCGTTCCCATACCCGACCCGGATCCCTGAGTTGCTGATGCTGCAGCTGAGCCGTCGGATTGGGCCGACGGATTGGTAACGCTGATCGGGTTGTGCAATCGCTCCATCTCTACTTGGCAGTGATCGGCCACCTGACTGCGCTTGATCTTCACGTCGCATGTGGGACAGATCACATCGTCGTCGCCGTTGCCAGTTAAATGCTGGGCGAAGTTTTCGCCGTTGGACACCGTGTCCGTGGCCATGGATTCCCGGGGTCCACCACGGACTCTTTAGTACGGAAACTGGAGCTTCTGCTTGTAATAGGATATTGTTTTGTACGCTAATCTGGCGAAGCCACGCGACGCCGATTCCCTACGTTCTCGTAATGTGGCAAATGGTTACACTGTTTTTTAGGATTTAGTGCCATAGCATGAGCAGTCACTGTTTTTTTGCTGCCTGCGATATTTATCGGATAGGATTTAAACCAAGACCTATAACGAATTCGATCTAAAAGTCGACAGACAGTGGGTGTGCAGGTGTTCGCAAATTCTACCTAAACTTACTCTGAAAATTGATTTTTTAGTTTTGATGAAACGAAATTGATAAATATTTTATTGTTTACTATAATAAAATGCTTTTTTTTTCCTGAGTTGGCAGTTCGCCTTAAACAGTGATTTTTTTTTACTGCGACCGTCACAGTGAAACTCTTCGGTATTATGCGGTGCGTGCACACTAATTTTCCGTTGTTGTCTTGTGATGAGGGAAGCAAAACATTATTATTTTCGTCGTTTTTATTTTTTGATTATATAGAAAAGTCGGTGGTCGCGGATCATGTGAAAAGTGGAAAGTGAAAAGATCTTTTTTAGCAGATTGTAAGTGCACAGGAACAGCCCAAAAGCAATAAACCAATTTGCGAAAGTGCAAGTAGACGGCGAAAGAAAAAGGCTGCGAAAAGAGAATAGAGAAAAAATATAGCGTGTGTGCGTGTGTGTGTGTGGCATATTGTTAAAAAAAACATAGTAAATCAGGAAAAAACAACAATGCAGCAGCAACAGCAACAACAGCAGCAGGGCAACCTTGCTAACTACAACAAAATGAACGTCTTGCCTAATTACACGCTCAGCGGAATGAGTTCCTTTGACGCCGAATCGCTGCCAGATTATTCCGAATTTGATTCAGAATCGGTAACTCTGGACTATTACAAGGAAAGGTATACCTTGACTGAAAGAATTCGCATTTTGTTTTGCTTCTGTTTACCTTAAAACACACATACATATACACATTAATATACTCGCCCTTGTCATTGTTGTTGTTTTGCATTTGGCCGTTTGCCCCAATTTTGCCTGCCGTTGCCGTTACGTTCTATATAGCAATTAACCGATATGATCCTGTTGCCACGCCACTCACCCCCACACACACACACACACACACACACACACACACACACACACATCCCATTCTCTTTCATATGCGAAATGTTGTTGTTGTTTTCAATTTCTAGCCGCTATAAATAAACTATCATCTACTTGCATACATATGTACATCTGGCCCGTCTAAATATCTCGAGATTTTTATGACGCTACATTTATATATTATATATTTGTATCTCAGTTTGCGTATCTGCATTTTGAAGACGTTAAGAAATGGGAAGTAATCAAAATCATAAATCGTAAATCGGCCTTATCCTGATTTATATTCAATATTTTATAAACTGCGGAGTTACGGAAACTTTTAGCGATCTTTTTTATGGCCTTAAGAGATTATGATAATTTTATATTTATGAAAAACTAGTAGGTTTTCTAGAACAGTTTAAAGCAACCATACTGTGAGACATAAACAAAAAATATAATTGATCATTTGACAGACATACGTCAAAAATATATATCCTCTACAAGGGTATAACAATGGAATGCGGTCGAATAATTAGTAATTTTCAGCATTGAAATTGCTTAGGTGCAGTTCCCTCGCAGCATACATACATATGTATGTAAATTATGTGGGAGCTGCAGCTCATCGCCCCAGCTTCCGTCTTTTGTCATTTCTGCTCCTCCCCCTTCACAGACTCAAATGTTTCGCCGCACTTTTGTCTGTCACAATAGAGTGATTTTAATTTAAACAATCCCAAAGGCATTCAACTGTGGCAACGCATTGTTTCCTAAATTGCAACAGTTAATCCATGACATACATTGACTGCTACAGTTAAATATAAATGAATATTACCTGCCTCTTAGTTAGAGCACTAACCATACCATTAGTGGTTAGAGTTAGGAACTTTATCAAGCTGTGTTATATCAGATTCAATAATTTAAAAATAGTTTTTTCTTACTGTTACTTTCCTTTTGTTTCCTTTGGAGTCGATTGGAAATAAAAGAATGGAATAAAGTACTTCTAATTTTAAGGATAGGATTTTACTGAACCTTTTTATTTAGCCACAGTTTCTTGTTAATTTGACGGAGTCAAAGCCATAATCTAAAAGCCTTAATCCTTTGCCATTGTCTTTGTCAGTGTTGTTGCTCGAGTTGTTTTGTGCATGTTGCTGCTGCTTATTTAAGTACATTGATGTAAACACACTTTTTGTACAAACGTGGTGCGCCAGTTTCTTTAATCGAATGCCACCAATTTCTCTGTTTCCTGCCCCGCTAACAAACGTTCCCCCTTTCGTAATACAGATGTTGAACGGGCTGCTTCCGCCAGCAATTTGAAATTCGGAACTCATTGGAAAAACCTCAGCGCGCAAACCAAAAGCAATAAAACGCCAATTGAAGCATTTATATTAGATTGTTAAAGCCAACCGGAGTAGCATTTACTCGCCTGCCCCCAAAAAATCAAAAAAGAATTCCCAAAAACCCTTCCAACATCCCACTAAGCAAAACTAACCAAGAAACGCATTGAAACGCATTCCAATTAGTAGCTGCGGGCAGCACTTTTGCCTGCATACATAGTCGATAAGGTGAGTTGGCTAGCTTGTGAAGCTAGTAATCATGTTTCTGCCCCGCAATAAATATTAATTGTTATGCATGCAGTGTTCTACGTCCTCCAGCGGAGAAAATGGCGCCGACAACAACGATTGAGACCATCACAATCACCAGGCCGTTGAAGGTATGCACTTGGATGCTCTAAGTTGGAGATTCGGCTCATGACTAACCGCTTTCACTGCTTCCACAGGTGATTGCATTTATTTGCGGCGTCATCGTGGTGGTCTTGATGATCATGGCCCTGGCGTCCACAGATTGGCTGATGGCCTCCGACTGGCGACAAGGCCTCTTTGTGCACTGCATCGAGGATGATTCGGTGGCCCCGCTGCCGTTCAACATCCAGGATCCGCCAGGATGCTACTGGACCCGCGATGTGGGTATGTTGAAACCAAGAAATTGAAAGAGCTTGAAAGTTTAAGTTACATTAAGTAAAATTATATAAAACTGCAGCCATTACAAGTTGATTGCATTTTCAACCTTATTTAACCTTTTTTCTGATAACCCACAGGTTACATCAAGGCTACAGCCGCACTCTGCATTATCACGCTGATAACGGACGTTATAGCCACAGTACTGACAGGTCTGGGACTCAGGACGCAGAACCATAATCTAAAGTATAAGTTCTATCGCATAGCGGTTTTGGTGATGCTTGTATCCTGTAAGTTACTTCCTAAATTTAAAAGGTCAGAAAATGCTAAAAATATTCCTTATTCTTGCAGTGCTAGCCGTGCTATCCGCTTTGATCGTGTATCCAGTGTGCTTTGCCGGCGAACTTACCATGGGTATTTAAAGCACAATTAATGGGAAAGAGCACTTGACTTACGTATTTACTATTTTAGCCAACCGGCGAGTCTGGGAATTCGGCTGGGCATATGGCGTAGGCTGGGGCGCGGCAATCTTCCTGTTCGGGGCCGTTGTCCTGCTGCTCTGCGACAAAGAGTCGGAGGAGATCTACTATAAGGAGAGGAAAATCGTACATGAAAACCAAATGCGCGCCTAGGCAAGGCCGCACGACCTGCCTGACGTCGTTCTGTAGACTAAGTATATAGCAACCAACCGAAAACAACACACACAGACACATAGATTTCGATTTAAATCCGACTCAAGAACAGAAGCAATTGGCAGCTAAATGAATGTGTTATAATTATGATTGTGTATATCATGACCATTTCAAACCAAAAATCCGCCCACCCATCCCCAATATCCCATAGTACTCGGCATTTGTTTAGATGAGGTTTCCCCAATCAGTTTATTTTGTGTTAGTTTCGAAAGGTAATCGTAGACAAGCCACAAACACACGTCCCACATCTATCATGTAGTCAGTCACATGTACGTCTAGGAATTCTGAAAGCTAATCGCATTAACCACACCCGTATATACAAATTGCATGCCCCATGAGTTTGAAAACATTGTAGTCAATTTTTAGAGCTTGCGTTTCGGTAGAAATATGAGAGCAAGTTGCAGTTGAAATTAGACCTCTTACAATATTGTACTCATACTCAGCTATATATACAAAGCAATGTACTCTTCATGTATCTCAAACCTAATCGTGAGCAAAATCCAAATTAGAATTTGTATATGTACGTAATCGAGAGACTAGGTAACCACGACAGATTAAGCCCCCAATATCATCGTCATTGTCAACGTTTCATGCCGATTACGCTTTCAAAAAATTATGTTTATACTCTATAAATCCGTATCGAATATTGTAAATTATGTGTTTGTCCCAGAGTATTATTGCGCGACTAACACCCATTGTACTCGAATATGTGTTGCTCTTTTACCTTTTGTAAAATAGTTTAACCATCTATCTGTCCAGTACTTTACTTGTCCCAGAGCCGTTTAGTTATTGTTTAAGCCGACTTTTAAGTGTATGCATTCGTTTTTTGTAACCGTCCCTTTTGTAACCACATATCCTTTAATAATTTATTGATATTTGTGTTCTTAATATACTCCAAAACATATCACATACAAATGACAACAATAAAACGTTTATGACACCTTTTGTTAACACTTTAAGACATACTTTTATTTAAAATCATACATTTTTAAGGTTTTTATGTTATAATTTTTTTTCCATACATGTTAATATCCGTGTTTTTTGTTTACAAAATCAGCATAAGGTACATATGAGTAATGGCGTTAACGCAACAACTATTGAGTAAATCATACTTTTATATTGTTATCTTTGGAGTTTGTATCTCATCAGTAAATCATTCGAAATTCGTCCATTATATCTCGCAAACAAATCATCCTATCGCTTTTTCTGGATTCCGTTTCGTTCGTTTCTGTTTTTAACGATACAATTTTGATTAAACGCCGAAATTAAGCGAAGAAAATGCAACCAAAATTAAATGCGACCTAAATTACAACAATACAAAGGGAAATATATATGCTTGAACATCCATATATACATATATATGAAGAAATTGAACAAATCGTAGGCAGGAACGTGCGGTGAAAAAAAAGACGAAACGAAAACAATTATAGCGAGTATAAGACAACAATTATACCAAACCAATTAAATTAATTAAACTATGCTTGCATACACGCATGTTTATATATAGTTATATATATAAGTTTAAAGTATGTAACATTTATTAAAAACGAAAAAAACAAAATCAAACATATTATTAACGAAACAATTATACTCCAAAACGAAACTCTACGAAACGTTACAGTTTTCCATTGTGTAACTAACCAACACACGAGCGAGGATCATTTTGTTTTAACAAGCAAACAACATATATATACAAACACATATGAATATATTTATTAAAACGTTTTAACATTTAATTTTTTTAAATTTACATTCGATAGAGCAAAACAAAAAAGAAAAGAAAACAAATCAAGAGAATAAGTAAAATTATCAAACATATTGCTAGTGATCCATATTCTGTAAACCATATGCCTAGATCATATTTTATAAATTCCCTATATGCATACCTATACCCGCAGCTACCGAAAATAACAAACTATGTATTTCCCCAAATTACGTTACACTTCAATGGACGTAACTCTGAATTGAAAATTTGGCGTCCCATTCCCCCAAGATCATTCAACACCCAACCCACCCCATCCTCGTAATCCGTACAGTATCGGTAAAAATGTAAATATTTCAGGAGAGTTTTCAAGAAAATAAATTAGTGTTTAACGTTCACATAAATATCCGTTTGTTACTTGGGTTAATTTGTGAGAATGTAATCCAGTGGCTGAATGGGTCCAGCTTCACCAGTGAATTTCTTCATGATATGAGCCACCAGTTCCATGGAAAACCTCCTCTTTGGATCCACGTCCCAACAAGCAGTTAATAAACTGTTTACATCCTCGGGACAGCCTGCCATAATATCATCCAACAACGGTCTCTCGCCTGTAAATAGAATATCTTTACTTTGAGTGGAGTGCGGAGTAATCAAGACAGAATAGCTTGCCTCCATTTATGGCCAATTTCAAGGCCCAGGCAGAGGTGCCATCGTATTTGTCCAAAGGCATCTTGCGCGATAATGTTTCCCAACAAGTGATCGCCCAACTGTGCACATCACACTTTTCATTATAGCGACCGCCTTTGAAGACCTTTGAGTAAATAAAAGACGATTATCAATGTATCTCTTGGGTTAAAGATCTCGAACCTCTGGCGCAATGTATCTGACGGTGCCCGTTTCCAGCGACATCGATAGCGTCTGGTCTACAACGGTGCCAAAATCACAGATCTTCAGACTGAGGCCCCTCTGGCCTAGCAATGCATTGTGCGGCTTGATATCACGATGAATGACCGCTTTTGGTCTCATGCCATGGAGATAAGCAACCCCCTGTAAACCATATCAGCATTATTCGGCTCCATAACTCCGCTTATCAGCCATAACACCTGAGCGATCTGGAGGCTCCAGTTGAGGGCGTGGGCAAGCGAATAACTTGGCCTGGATTGCGCATGCAGAAAGCTGAACAGAGATCCACCATCTACGTACTCCATCAGTAGGAAAACTCTGTCCTCGTGCTTGGAGATACCATACAGTTTTATGATGTTCTCGTGGTCAACTCTTGCCAGTTGGTTGATCTCCCTGTCAATTTTCCTATCCTCACAGCCTGCTCGTATTCTCTTCACTGCAATCACTCGGTTTCTCCAGTCGGCCACAAATACACTGCCAAACGACCCTGAACCTACACCCTAAAATAAAGGCACTGATCTTATTCAGAGTTAACCCATTTGTCCTGCTCTTTACCTTTCCTAGTTTAAATTCTTCAAATGGAATTTGGTCTACTGCCGCCATGTCTTCTCTAATGCCAATTTATCACTGAATTCTGATACACGAAGGTTGTCGTTCTTAATATGATAAGCTTTCAGCGCTTTAAACTTATCTATACCTACACATATAATGCACTTTCTAAAAAAAATGATGCTTATCAGTAACTCTGGATTTGATATCTTATCGAAGTCGATTAAAATTGTGCAAAAAAAGATTTCTATTCCAACTTTGATTCAGTTAGGAGCAAGAGGTACAATAAAATTTACGATTTCACAAAGCGATTCGACAAATACAATATATTCAAGATTTATACAAAATAGTTATGCTTAAATCTAAGTGTTAAAGCCTAATGAAACACAATTGCAGCGACGACTTTCTAGTCTTTTTTGGCAATCAAGCCCTGCTTTTTGAGTTGGCGCAGTGCGCATTTGGCCGCGGTGCACTTGGCAATGCGATAGTTGCGCCCGATGCCCCGGAAGGTGCCCTTGCAGAAGACATCCACGGTGACGCGAACCCGCCGCCCGTCCGCCAGCTTCTCGGGCTTACCGAACTTGGCCGTCTCCGGCTCCAGCTCGAGGAGCTCCCTTATGGGCGACTTTGGCACTGAGTTGCTAAACTGCTCGATCTCCGGGCTCATCATGTTGCTGTAGACATGCCACACAACGTCCAGCGACATGTTGGAGTCCAGGAAAATGGCGCCGGCGATCGACTCGAAGACGTCGCCCAGTGCCTTGGGCACTTCCACGTCCTCCGCATCGTCGCACTCCTCCTCTGACAGCAGGTAGTACTAATACAGAAGAAACCAATTAGCAGTTGCCGTTGGTAATTGTATGGTATGATGATATAACTCACCTCCTCGCTGATGCTGTGACCATTCTCCTGCTGGATTCGCACAAAACGATCGATCACATCGTTAAGACCCGGCGAGAGGTGTCGGAAGAACTTGTGAAAGCCATGCCGAACGGCTAGGGAGGCGAAAATGGTGTTGTTCACCAGCGCTGACCGCAAGTCGGTTAGAGCGCCTGGAGAATGCTGGCGAGGATCCTCGTACAGGTGCCGTGTAATGAGGTAATCCAGCACAGCATCGCCCAGGAACTCCAACCGCTGGTAGCAGTCCGTCAGTCGATTGGGTGTGTAGCTGGCATGTGTCATGGCTTGCAGCAGGTAGGAACGATCCCGGAACTGGTAGCCCAGGCTCTGCTCGAACTCCTCGAAGCCGCTCAATAGCTGGTCCAGTTCCTCCGTGGCATTGGGAGCATAGTGCAGCAGGGGACTGCGTGGCGTGGGCCAGGCGCCATAAACGGTGACCATTTTGTCGGCATTTGGTCTCGTGCTGCCGGGTATTCGCTCCTCCGCATTTGCCGCCTCCAGTTGCCTGGTGAAGGGCAGCACCCGCACCCCCAGCCAGGCCATAAAGAGTAGTGCTCCACGCGGACCGCACTCGATGAGATAGGCTCCGATCAGCGCCTCCACGCAATCGGCTATGGACTTGTCCGGAATGCTGTGCTGCGAGACCAGGTTGTATGGGATAAAGCAGCTGAAGTCATTGCAGCTATCATTGGAGTCGTCCAGTTGACCACTCTGGGCAGCTCCATTCTGAGCTCCATGCTGCTCCAGACCCAGGGCCTCCGCTTTTTCGCGGACCATCTCACAGATCTGGACACTGCTTAGGTTCTTGATGTCCAGCAGATCGGCCAGCTTCCAGTGGTGCGTTGGGATCTTTGCCTCGATGAGCGCCTTCTCCAGCTCCTTGGGCACGTAGTAACAGGGTGGCAGCCAGTTGTCGTGGGGCTCGAATTTGGTGGCTATCATGTACTCGCCCAGCCTCTTTCGCCGCCCCAAGCGATACAGATTGAGATTGGCCACCTGCTTGGAGCGCAGATGGCTGAGCTTACCCTCGTGCACATTCTCGTAGGTGATGTACAGGTAGGTGGTAATGGCATACTTGAGAAAGGAGTCACCAATGGTTTCCAGGCGCTCCAGATTAATGCCATCGTTGGCATTGGACATGGTAAGGGCCTGCAGGATGATGCTGGGACTGGGTCCTGGATGACCCACTAGATTCGGTTGCAGGTCGAAGCTAAAGCCCGATGGTAGTATCGACGACGATATGTCCTTCTTGGGAGTTGCAGGCTGGATTTCCTGCCGTTCAAACCGCAGCTTCAGCTGTTTTTCATCCAAATTCAGTCGATGATGGTCATTGTAGTTGTCAAAACTGTCTCCGCAGCCCAAGACGCTGTAGGTCTCCTGCTCATGACAGGCCACCCAATCCGCATTCAGCTCCACCAAATCCGAGAGCAACAGCTCCCGCTTGTCACCCAGCTTTTCGGCCAACAGCTCCTCCTCCACGTATGGCAGCAGTTGCTTCAGCAGCTTAATCATCGAATCCTTTGTGTCCTTAGTTTCAGCGACACTGTTTCGTTTCAGAACCAATTCCTGGTCGTGGGACACCAGCATGCCGCAGCTTTCGATCTCCGTCTGTAGCTTAGCTATCGATTGTTCGTATCGGCCAGTTGGAGGTGCCTCCATGTCCTCCTTCTCCACCTGCTCAAAGTTGAATCCAATAAGCAGGTTCTTTGTCTGCTGGTACTGCCGCTCGTTGGCATTCGTGGCCTGGATGATTGATAGTTGCTTCTGTCGCTTCTCCACTTCCTGGGCGGTTTCAATGGTCTCCGCCTCGTTCTTGGAGGTGAAAGCAATGCGCCCGGCATCGATGTCATCCGCCACATCGTCGTCATCCGAGCTGTAGTTGTGGTGCATGTAATTGAGCGGCCCGCAGTTGTCGTCATCGTCATAGCTGGAGCCCAGCGAGTTGTCCGAGTCATAGTAGTTGAAGGAGGGCTTTGCCGGACCCTTTCCTTTGCCCTTGCCACCGGGTTGAGTGCTTTGATTGTGCTTTGGCGGCTTGAAGCCACCCTCTCCATTGCTCACGTCCCAAAAAGTGGGCGATCCATAGCGGGTTTGTTGATCACCTGCAAGATACATTTTGTGTTTAGTGTTTTCCCTCGTTCAAGGTGCTTTAACAACTTACAAAACTTTACGTTGGCTGGCAGAACTGGCAGGCGAAAGGCCTCATCCTCGTCCTCGTCGTCCTGGTTGAAGCTAGCTAAGTCGTCGGCCATATCGTTGGACCAGGTGCCTATCTCAATAAAGTCATCCGCCTCTTGCAGCTTTTGTTCGCCCTCTATTATGAGTTCGATGGCACTTTTCTCCACTTTATCGGCTTTTGGATCCTCATCTATTTGAGACTCCTTTGGCGGCTCCTTCTGATCCTCAAGTGAATCTTTGCCATTGACCAAAGCCTCCTTAACCGAATCTTTTTGCTTAGACTCGCGCGACTTCTTGAGCACCTCGGACAGACTCCAGCCAAAGTCCAGCATGGGCCACTCGAACTGCTCCTCCTCGATTTGCTGCCTGCCCAGTCCCAGATCCGCAGAGACCTGCTTGCGAATATCGTCGGCGAGGAGCAGACCGTTGATGCGGTACAGAATGCAGGGCAGGCACACAGCAGTGCGCCACAAGGAGGCGGGGAATGGATGCACGGTGCACAGCTCCGGCACCAGGATTTGCTTCTGCTCGAGATTCTCGCGCTTGGCCCGCTTCGTCTCCTCCGAACTGGTGGGCAGGGCCACGCCCTTGCGGTTCACGTACCGCGGTGTGAGGAAGTTCAGCCGAGCACTGGTGTGGTCCACGTCCAGCAGCGGTTGCGAGGCATTCTGTATGGTCAGGCCATACTTGACGAGGTAGTAGTGCTTGAATGTGCGGTAGTTGTCGCCGGGAAAACAGCTGAGTGGCGAAAGGTGTGGACAGATTTCGGCCACGTAGAAGTATTGCGGTTGATCCTGGTTGCGGTACCATGGCATAACGACGGCATCTTGGAAGCGCTGCGCGTCGAACGCCTGCGCCTGTCGCTCCTCATCGGACACCGCCCGTGGCATCGTGTTGCCATTGGCTTGGATGAGCTCTAGGAACTGCCAGTCGATGTGTTTGCCGCCCGCTGGCGTCTTCACCGTGGGCACAATGAACACACAGTTCTCCGTGGAGTCAGGATCGAAGAGCATGAGGAACTTCTGCAGTCGCAGCACATTGGTGAACGTGTAGTTCAGGAAGCCGTTGATGCAGACAATCTGCTCGCTGGTCAGGACCACGCGATCCTTGGCCAACTCGAGGGAGACCTTCACCTCTCCGGATCGTGTGAATATCGAGAAGGCGCTCAGCTTGGGTATGCGTTTGCTGGTGAGTATGCCGAAACCCTGCTGGGCATCCTCCGGCGGATAGATCTTCCGGCCTCGTGTGTTCTGCTCCTCGGGAATCGGACACTGCAGCGTCAGCTGAATGAAGTACAGATAGCAGGGTGCCCCGGCCACCGGACGGCAGTCGCAAAACTCGGATGCAATGCGTTTGTAGTAGTACTGTCGCCGCTTTGTCGTTCCCGGCCGAGGCTCATCGCTGAGCTGCACAATCTGCTCGTCCTCTGGCTCCAGATCGAAGCACTCCCAGTCCGGCTCCAGGGCGCGAAATCCCTCCTTGCCGATGGGCTGCAGCTGGTCGTCCAGCTCACCGATCCTGTGCAGCTCAACACAGGCCTGCAAGGCGGCCAGGCGACGTGCCAACGTCTGCGTGGGCATCGGGAGACCCTAAAAGAAAAAAAGGTTATAAGAAACAACTGGAGCATTGGAGATGTTCCGCCCACTTACCACAATGTCGTGCTTCAATGGCGAGTTGATGGGCAGCCGGAGTGTGTACTGAAACAGGGTCACTCCCGCTCTCTCGCTGCGGGTGCAGCGCCACAGGGCCGTCAGCTTGGTGAAGGTGTCGCTGGGCAGGCGAGCGCAGTACTTGTTGACCAGCGCTATAGCTGATCCGAGATCCACGGAGGCGCCGGTCAGGAGCTGCGGCTTGGGTCGATAGGCAGCCAGGCAGGCACCGAAGCGTTCGGCCTCGCTTTGCTCCTGCTCCGGCGGCTCGGTGTTGGCGCACTTGGACAGCAGCATCTGCTCGATCTCGCGATACTGTGCCATTTGGTGCACCAGGTCCTTCGTGGTGCTGGCCAAACGATCAACTGTTTTGGCTTCGGGACACGATTCTATGGCATCCTCTGGCTCGGCTTGGAGGGCCAGCTCGCACTGGAAGCGTCTGGACTTGCGTTCCGTACTGCTCTCACTAGGACTGGTGTTGCTCACGCTGACGGCCTCGTCGCTGGAGTTGCTGGTGTCCAGCAGCGCTGCGGCCGGTGACTCGTCCTGAATCTCCTGCAGCTTAATGTCGCACGCCGTGGGCGGTTGTTTGCTGAAGACCTCGGGATTGAGGATCTTCACCGTTCCCCGGGCCGTTCCGAATGTGTAGGGATCAGAGCCATATGATCTTGGCATCGCCGAGTCATCCGAGTCGCTGTCCGCCTCCACAGCATCGCCCGTTACCGACGACCCGCAAATGAAGCGATGACTGCGTTCACTCAGCTGCACTGCACCCACAGTGGGGCTTTCGAAACTGGGTGCCACTAGGATGACATGGTAGGCGGGAGCTGCTCGGGCTCGTCCCTTGCACTGCACGTAACTGCGATATGTTGTGGGCGGATCCCAGCGCACCACCAGATTGCACTTGGGCACATCGATGCCCTCCTCCAGCACCGAAGTGCCGATCAGTACATTGCAGTCGTGCATGCGGAATCGCTTGAGCACCTCCTCCTGCCGCCGGTGCTCCAGCTCGGCCTCCTTGGGCTCCGTGGTGGGATCGGCCACCCGGTCTGTGGTGTACTGGCAGCGTAGGAACTTGAGATCCGGGTCTCGCCTGCTGATCTCGGCCAGCAGCTCGAAGAGCACACGTGCCGTGTGGTTATGGTTGCAGTAGATCAGTGCACAGAGCGTGTCGCTGCCGTCATGCTGGTCCCGGTGGTGGCGTCTTGTGTACACTCGCCTGCGGGTTCGCGGTTGTGCCGTGCTGGAGCCACCGCCTGCCTTAGCCTTCGCCTGGTGCGGAGCAGGAGCAGAAGCAGGAGCAATGCGAGCAGCGCTCTTGGACGGCTGCTTCTCTTCGGACGTGTGCAGGATCTGCTCGAGATTGGCCACCAGGGCCCGTGTTTCCGTCGGTTGCTGCTCCAATTGGTCCACCAGCCGGCACTTGCTCTCCAGCGCGTGCGATAGCCGGTTGAAGTCCGCCTGATCCACCTGATGGCGCATCCTGCGCAATCCGTCCGCCTGGGTGTGCACCTCTTCGGGCTTAAAGCATCGCAGTGTCTGCAGCAGACGTCGCACCTTCGGGCTGGAATAGCGTTCGATGGTCTGGCGCGAATCGCCTCCAGTTCCCTGGTGGCGCTGGAACGCTTGGTCGCAGAGCGAGTGCAGTTGGATGAGGGCCGTGCTCACTAGGCAGTAGAGCAAGTAGTGGCGCTCGTGCGGCGTCTTCACCTTCAGCTTCTCGTTGCTCTGGTAGAAGTGGTGGGCAGCCCGCTGGGTGCACCAAGGACCCATCTCGTGCAGCACGGCCAGCAGCGAGTTGATGACGTTCAGCGGGTCCACCTTGGGATCTGGTATGTCTGGAAGTGGCTTACGGCCGAATTAGTTGGTGACTTTGGGCACTTTTTTCGCAGAGAACTCACCCTTTAGCTCCTCCATAAACTGATCAGTGCCGTAGATCTCGTAAGGATCGTAGCGGTGGTCCATGAGGAAGGACTTGTGGGTGTTTAGGACATCGGCCAGCACCAGGGACAGCTCGTCCATCTCGAAGGGAGCGCACTGTACGATATACTCGTGCGGGCGGGAACAGTAGCGCAACACGGTGACAATGTCGCTGGCCGTCTCGATCCGGCAGAGCATGTTCCGCTCCAGGGTGGCCAGCATGGAGCTCAGCTGCTGCAGCTCACAGCCGGCACTGTGCAGCGGACCAGCCAGTCCCAGGATACGCGGTCTGATCGCCGGAGCGGCCGGCAGTATGTGCTCCACGAAGAGCGGCATTACCCTCTGGTAAACCCCACAGTCGTGGCAATCCTCCAGCACAATCAGCTCCACACTGCTCAGCAGCAAGTCGCGACACTCGAGTAGATGGAGAAATCCCTCCGGCCGTAAGATGGACACGTGGTAGTCCATCCAGCAGTGGTCGAAGGGAATCTGCATGTCCGGCTGCTCCTGCCAAACCCGCAGATCGGTCAGGTGGGTGAGCATGGTGTAGATGGAGCAGGGCTCCTTGCTTCCGCCCACCTCGCAGCTGATGTAAATGCTGACCCGGCCATGTCGACGTCCGCGCCGCGAGAGCTCCTGGAGCAGCTTGAGGGCGATGAATTCCTTGGAGCTCCGGTGGCCCAGGCAGATTATCGTGTTACGCTCGTAGGCGGCGGCCAGAAGTTCCACCTGGAAGTCGCGCGGCGTGAACACGGTGGTGTGCAGGTTGTTGTCGCACCAGTGGAACGCCATCGTGGCCAGGGGAATCACAAAACTCGTTCCTCGAGATGATTTCTGCCAAAGAATAAAATTCCAAAGCCGGCTAGCTGCATGCTAGTGTGACCGTTGGTTGGTCTAACGAAAAATACCACTGCCACATCTTAAGTCCTTGGTCACACTGATTTGTTGCTTGAATGAAGTTGCGCCTTGTCTTTTTTTTTTCTTTTTAATAAATAAATTGCAAATTCTGGTACCAACTACAATCGTACAGCACAATACTCAGGTTTGCAATGCGGCGTTCAAAGGCTCCTTCAATGCGCCTGGCGGCCAAGCGAAAAATCGAAGATCCGGAGCAACCTCCAGAGGAACTAGGAGCACCTTGCTCCTGGCCCAGTAATACTCCACCCATGGAATGGGGCTCCTCCAGCGGCTCCGAAAACTTTGGACCCCGAGAACTGAAGGCTGGCGAGAATCCCCTCCGGGAAAGCCGCATCTTCCATGTGCTCTGGCGCAATCAGACCACCAAGAAGCACAAGACCTGGACTGGCAACGGCACCCTGGTGGTCACCGGGTCCAAAGTAGCCCTAAAGGATGACACGGGCAAAGTTGTGGACAGCATGACATGCTTCAAGCAGCGGGACTTCAAGGAGAATGATCTGCTGGAAGTCGGTAGCAAGGATGTGGAAGTGCAGGAGGAGATCAAAACCTTGGAGGAATGTGTAACCCAGCGAGGGCTGGAGATTGCCAGCTGGTGCAAGAAACTAGATGCCCTAAATGGCTTGGATTCGCCAGTTCATGTGGCCAGTGCTCCCTACAGATCTCATGTACTTAAGAGAGCACACGAAGAAATCTCATTGAAAGTCCAGAACCCTGCGCCTTCGGGATTCACCCAGAGCGGTATAGAATCTTCACATTCCTTCCGCGAAGGAACTCCTTCGGGACCCACCCACGTGGAATACCTATGCCTGCTAGCTCCAGCAGAACTACAGGACAACATTTTGCACTTTTTGGCTGAGTACATCAAAAATTCCAAAGTGGTAAGACAGATTTAGGTCAAGTAACAATGCTGGTGTCCTAGAATTTTCAAAGTATCGTGTTATTTTAATATTTACAGAAATACAGATACTAGATAAAACGAAAAATTTAACTTATTGGCGACTGTCTGCCCTTAATATTAACACTACAATACATTAAAAGGACAAGGATTATAATAATAATAACAAAAATAAAATAAATTATTATTTTAACTTTACAACTTTGATGTGTTTTAGGAACCCTCTATCATCAAGGAAATGGTTGAAGTGGTCTGCGATCATCCTGTGCTACTTAAAACCCTCGTCAAGCAAATTGACTTTAAGGACATAATGCAATTGCTGGAGCCGAAATTGCCGCCCTGGCTGGACATGGGTATCTACGACTCCGCCAAGTTCGAGTTTGTCCATCGAATGCTGGACCATTTAGTGGTGGAGCAAGGCGAGAAATGTTGTATTTTGGCGAACAGACAGGATTGCTTGAAACTGGCTATGGGCTACTGCCAAAGCTATGATTTAGATCATGTGCAGCTGGATAGTCCCCAAAAAGTAGCTATGTTCAACTCTGATGGGGAAGATTCACCAATGGTTGCCTTGGTCTTGACCAGTGACTTACCGGAGATCAGCTCTGTTTGCTGCAAAAACCTCATAATTTATAATCATAATGCCAGAGAGGAAGCCAATAATCTGTTGTCCACTGCGGAAACCGACACCAAAATATACACAGCGATCACATCTGGAGGTTGTCCGGACGAGCGGCAGTTCTATCGAAGACTTGGTCTGAGCAAAGACGTTGATTCTCTAGTGGACATTCAAAATTACAGCAGAGATCATATACCACGCACTAGATATGTGAGTATTCCCATTTGATAGCGTATTTCAAAAGCACTTCTTTTGTTATTGTATCTCAGGAGCTGGCAACCTGGACCAAGATTGAGCCACCTTACAGCACTGATTTCCTAAAAGTAAGTTTTTTAGTAGTTTTCCTAGTGATTCGAATATTATTCAATTTGTTTTTTACAGAAAGCCAATATCGCTGATAGTCTGGAAAACGTTCAACTTGTTTATTCAAAGAATAGTTTAAAACCTTAAAAACAGATCAGGAAGAGATCTTGAACTTCAGGATTAAATATATAAGGGTGATATATAAATTCATGGATTGATGTCCTGTTTGGTTTCACAAATTTTGTTTAATTCTTTTGGAGAAATTATGGCAGATTTAAAATTTCCTGCAGTTTGTCAAAGCGAACGGAATAGTTATTGTCTTCCTTGCTGTAAATGATCTCGCTGCAGCTCACGGTGGAGCCCACTGCCAGAAACTGCTCGAGACGTTTGATCTGCTCGTCGGTGAGCTCGCCAGGCCAACCTTAAATAGGGTATTGAGTCGATTATTTTAGTTAGTACATAGTACACTGTGTTATTTACCAATTAAATCCAGCTCCGTGGTCATCATAGGGAAAGTAAACTGCGGCGGATACGGGCGTATGTCGCTGACATGGGTCGGCACAATGTTTCCGTAATCGATAAACAAAATGCTGGGATATCCATCACCCACCGTTTCCAAGAAAAGACCACGGCACCACTTCCCCTCGTATTTAGCGATACAAATCGTATGCTGCCTAAATGAATAAAGTTTTAAGTTGGTGTAAAATAAATTGTTGGTAGCTTTACTGTGGAGCATAGCTTTGGCACTTTGCAATCTTTTCGCCATAATCCTGCAGGTCCCGCTGCATTTTGGTGATTTCGTATGCCAGATCTATGGGCGTGCAGTAAATTAAGCCGCACTTTATTAACGTGTTGTCCATCACAACCAAATCGATGTTCTTGCCAGTGGGCAAACGAATGTGGGAAAGCCACTAGTACAGAAAAGATTAGTTACAAATGTAAGCCACAAAACTGGTTATCTTAGGTTTTTACTTACTTCCTCCTTGTAACCCATTTCCGATAAGCCCGGCTCCACAGGTGTCAATATGGTCTTAAAAATACGGTTCAAGCTGATATTTAAATCGATCTGGGTCATCACTACGATTTGCAAGCCCTTGCTAAAGTCGTACTCGCGCTTGGAGTATTTAATATCAAATATCAATTCCTGGTCAAGATTGTACATAATTTCCCGTATGTTGGGAACCAGAAAGCGCCTGCGAACTCCGCGCAGTTGCACCGCCACGGGATAACAAGGCAATGCAGCCAGATAGGGACTACAGTCGTAGAGATTTTCCAGCTGCGTGACTTCGACGCTGCCAAAATCGATGCAGACCACATAGATGTCTTTGGGATCATCAACATTGAGCACCATGGCTCGCGAGATTTTGGTCTCAAACTCGTAGAGCACAATCTGTCCACAGACTGGTTTACTAAGCAGTTTGGACGCTGTTTTACCCTTCATCATCACCTCCGTGAGAACGGAGTAATAGGCGATGTCCACCTGAATGTCAGCCGAGCGGACATAGACCACATTTGTCTGCTCGAAAGCGGTGATCCTGACCTTGGACCCGGACGGCGGCAGTCCGGGCTTCGGAAACTTACGGCCCACCTTTGCGTCAAGTTCGAGCAGCTCTCCCTTGCCGCACGCCTCTTTGTGCTTGTCGGCCACATCCGCGAAACAGGATGCATTGCAGAAGGGCATCTTGCACAGCTTACAGAAAGTATCTGTCCAGTTTTGGCACACCACGCATTTGCTTACTCCCTGTTCCAAAAGGTTTTCGGGTTTGATCTTATCATCGGCATTAATCGTTGAACTAAAGAATAATTTAAATAGACATTCTAATTCGCGAAAGAAGAGGATGTAAATATATTTATACTTACACTGGAACAGTTCTTCCGGATCGAAAGTGCAGAATGACCTGGGAAATCTTTGTTTCGTCCTTCACTCTATAGACACCGTGGCGCTCCAGGGCGAACTCGTACTTGACATTGAGATAGCGTTGATTTGGATCGTTTCTGGCCATAAGCGATCCCTTGGCTGTATAATCCTCTTTGGTGACCAGCGGAGGGCGCCTAAAAAATCGAGTAGTATATGGGTAAGGCTAGCTTAGCGAGCTGAAGACTAGTAAGCTACCTGAATTCAGGGTGTTTGTTCCTGGCGGATGAGACTGCAATATTACGGGCATCCAGATCGACAGGAGTACGCTCAGTTAGCGAGAAAGCCGGACTCGGTTTTGGCATTGGCTCATTCGATTTCAGGGACTCGGGGACAGTGCTTTCTCGCTCCGTCTGATGGCGACCAGTTATGCACCTGATCAGGTTTGGGAATCGCTCCACTCGCAGTCGCGCAGTCTCTAGGGATCTTCAAAAAGTTAATCTCTATAAGTTTTGCTAAATGTGCGTAGACATGTTTGAACCTACCCAATGTTGGGGAAATAGACAAAGTAAACGCGCGAAACCCTGCGGTATTCCATGTCGTGAATGAGATCACGTCCAAAGAAGTTGATAAGCATCATTTCCGTCAAAAAGGGACTGCTCTTGGGAACCACCAGATACGGATATTTGGCCTGCCTGGTGGCGCGTTTCTCCTTTTCATCCTTGAGCGGAGCAGGTGCTTCCTCGATCAGATTCTGTCCCAATTCGTTGGTGTATGTATTCTGCGCCTCGTCGTAGAAATCTTTGGCCATGGGATTGAAACCAGACCAGTCCTCCTCTGAAGTCTCCATCGAAGCTTTACTTCTGAATTCACCTGGGATTCGAATTTCACTTCCTAGCGCGTGGAATTGAAAGAGTGTGACCGTTGCTCCGATTGCCAAATATCTTTTCTTTATAACTGTAAAAGTGAGGTGGGCTACATAGTGACAATGAGCACCGGAAGGCGTGATCAAGGAGACTACTATATAATAACGACAATAAATTTTTTCCGACCATATATGTAAGTATTGCTTGAATCGTTCGGATTCCGACACATTATAAAATTAATAGCTCACAGTTTTAGGCTCAGACTAGGATTCTTTAGAATTATTTAATTCGTTCCCGAATTCTGCAAAAAAAGGATGGCATATCTATAAGGGAACCACAATTTTATTACCAAAGAATACAAGTTATTCGTTACATAAAGTTATTAAATATTATTATTGTATTAAATTATCTCGCAATGTTTGGATGAAAGGAAATGTACTGCGTAAATGTTCCGATCGTGTTTCTTACCACCTGAATCATCAACAAAATATTTAAAAGATTCTTTGACAAACATAATAATGGACAACAGTACAGTATAACAACTTATAACGTTCTTTTCAAAGGTAAATGCAGAACTAAGCTGTGCAATTAATGAGTCTAGGTATATTCAAAAGTCTTCGTGGGTTAGCAAGTGACGTTGAAGAGTTGATTTTAGGACAAAAGTCTTTGAGCTGTGGGTACAGTTAAATGGTCGTTCTCCCCTGTGGGTTCGCAAGTGTACATGAAGACTTGAACTCTGTGTATATGCATTTAGGCATTTGTTGCACTGAAAAGGTCGTTCTCCAGTGTGCGTTATCAAGTGTTTTCGAAGACTTGAGTTCTGGGCAAAAGTCGCCAAACAGTGGGTACACTTGTATGGCCGGTCCCCTGTGTGGGTTCGTACATGGGACTGAAGAGATCCTTTTGCTTTAAAAGTTTTTGTGCAGTGGGTGCACTTGAAAGGTCGGTCTCCTGTGTGGGTACGCAGGTGCACCTGAAGATGCGAATTTAACATAAAGGTGTTTGAGCAGTGAGTGCACTTGAAGGGTCTTTCTCCTTTGTGAGATCGCAGGTGGGCCTGAAGATGGGAATTCGTTGTAAAACTCTTTGAGCAGAGCGTACACTCAAACGGACGGTATCCTGCGTGTATCCGCAAGTGCAGCTTGAGTTGAAATTTATTTTTAAAAGTCTTCGGGCAGTCGGTACATTTGAAGGGACGTGATTTTGTGTGGACCTGCAAGTGTATCAGAAGAAGTGAATTATAGGCAAACTCTTTTGGGCACTGGGAACACTTGAATGGAGGTTCTGCTCGGTGAGTACATAGGTGATCCTGAAGATGTGAATTTGTTGTAAAAGTCTTTGAGCAGGAAGTACACTTGAAAGGTCGTTCTCCTGTATGGGTTTTCAAGTGAATCTGAAACTGTGAATTATATCTAAAGGCCTTCGAGCAAAAAGTGCACTTGAACGGAAGGTTTGGGACCTCATGCTCACCATCATCCGTTTCAGATTCAGTTTCAGTGTCAGGTTCATAGTCTGTTTCATCGACAGAATCATCATTTTCCCGCTTTTTGTCAAGTTCTTCGTCTTTATCATCATCTTCTGCTTCTTCTTCATCTTCTTTTTCTTCAACACCATCATAATCATCATCTTCCTCCATCTCCTCTGTATTTAAATCGCAGTCAAACTGATCCCTGACGTAATCTGAAAATGGATGGCATTCCTCATCAAAATCGTCTTCTACAAGTGGTTCATTCGTCACTCGGAATTGGTCTCCAGCTGCTTCTTTCATTTCATCTAAATCTTCATTTACTTTATTATTGACTTGGGAAATGTCGTTGTAATGTACTTCACAAATGTTTAATACATTCCAACCTTCTCCACTAAATGAGTCCTCTTTCAGAGATTCCTTCCTAAACTTGCAGAGGAATTGAAAGCTCCTCTCGTAAGTTCGCTTGATGTCGAATGCCATTAGCACATCCTGTAGGCATGGCGGGCAAATTGTTTTGGGAAATTCATCTTCTTCCCTAACTATATATCCAGTGCACTCAGAAATCATTGATGCAATGGAAATGCCATGGGTCCCTTCGAAAATATTTATCATGTGTTTAGGAGTTCCCAGGCAAGCACGGCATTTGGATGGCTCCATCGCTCTGAAATACAACAATGGAAATAATGTGCTGTGTAAATCAACTTCAATTTCTTACGGTCGCGTCTAGGTACTTCTGCAGCACGGTAAAGTATATTGTCGAAATGCTTTGTTTTTTAAATTCTATTTTTATTAGAGATGGAAGTCCGTTTCGATAGTCATGGTGAAAGTCTTGCTGCGGAGCGTTCCCAAATAAATCGACTGCAGTGCGAACGGCTCATTTTGGTATTTTTAAACAATCGACAAACGGCCACACTCGATGAAGAAAAATCCAAGCCAGTTGAAAAAATTGTAAACAATCTTTAAAAACCCCAAAAAAGATGGTTAAAAACGAGCCAAACTTCGTGGTAGAGCGCATCATGGACAAGCGCATCACCAGCGACGGTAAGGTGGAGTACTTCATCAAATGGCGCGGCTACACGTCGGCGGACAATACCTGGGAGCCTGAGGAGAACTGCGAATGTCCAAATCTAATCCAGAAATTCGAGGAGTCCCGGGCCAAGTCCAAAAAGCGTGGCGAAAAGAAGCCCAAGTGCGAGGAAATCCAGAAGCTGCGTGGCTACGAGCGCGGCCTGGAGCTGGCAGAGATTGTGGGCGCCACGGATGTCACGGGGGACATCAAGTACCTGGTGCGCTGGCAGTTCTGCGACGAGTTCGACCTGGTGCCCAGCAGTGAGTTGTCTGAGAAGGATCCGCAGATGCTGATAGCTTACTACCAGAAAATGGCTCCGTACACCCGCCACATCGCGCGCCGAATGAAGGGGGTGCCGGAAGAGCTGCGATCGGTGGCCTCGCGCACCAGCTATCCGCACATCAGCAGTGCTCCCGTTGAGGTTCACCCGGAGGTGGATCAGGCTGCGGATTTGGTGGGACATCATCTCGCTGGCATGCCCCAGGTTGACCAGGTGCCCCAGCATCCTATGGATTTGGCCGATGGCCCCGACGACTTGGCCGGCGTTTCCTATTCGATTCCGGTGGCTGGCGTTGGCGACATTGGCATCGATGTGCCCATGGCGGAGGATCAATAAGAACGCCAGCAGATTCAATCCACTCAATGTTTAATCTTAGTCCTTAAGTTAACCCATATGTAAAGCTATCTGAAACCGATGGGCTCGTCCAGATTGATGCGACCTAACTGTCCGCTCCGAAAGAAGTGGATAAACTTTCGCGCGGCCGCCAATAAATTTGTCATCACTTCCACCCGTCCGTCGTACTGTTTAACCTTGTGGAAGAGCTCCTCCCGCTGGGCGTACTCCGCCAGCACGGCGGTGATATTGTCACTGGGTCCGGAGCTCAGTTTCAGCTTCTCCACATAGTCGTATCGGCGGTGAGTGTTCAGCCAGTAGAGCAGGTAGTCGGCTATCAGGTCCTCACCCACAATGTGATCGGGAAGGCAGCCCACTAATGCCAACTTCATACCCATTTCATCGTCTTTAATGGAGGGCTGAAGGATTCCAGGTGTGTCGATCATGTAGACAGGAGGATTCTCCTGGATTTTGATGCGCTCCCCCACGGCTCTAGTGATTCCCGCCTCTGCTCCCACACGGGCGGCACTTTTCCTTTTCAGGTGCACATTCCTCAGGACATTGATCACGGAACTCTTGCCCACATTGGGCACTCCGATGATCATAAGGTTGTGCTCCGCCGCCTGCGTGCGATTGAAGCGACTACTTTCGCCCACGAGGCGAGTGGCCAAGGGCAGGATGTCCAGCACGCCGTGGTTTCTCTGATCCTTGCAGTTGGTGAACAGGATGTGCCGCAGTTCGGGCTGCTGCCTCCTCAGCTGTTGAATCACATTCTTCTGCAGATTTGCTCCCAGGAGATCGACTTTGTTCAGGACCAGAATGTGCGGTTTAACGCCACTTCCTAGGGGAAACATTCAGATTAAGTTGTCATACTGGGTTGTAGATTTATGCACCTGTTATAGTGTCAAAGAACTGTGAATTCCTGCCCGCCAGTGGGATTCGTGCATCATGGATCTCAACTATGCAGTCCACAGTTCGCAATTTTTGTTGGATTTGACGCATGCCCTTAGTCATGTGACCGGGGAACCAGTTTATTCGCTGTTTCGCAGGCAGCTGGAAGGCCTTGCGAAAGGGATTCAGCTGAGCTGCCATGATGCGGAATCCATGCAATGCTATCAAATTCGAAAACAAAAAACAGCTGTTGGCCTGTGACGTAACAATTGACCATTGCAGTGATGGGGTCACATTGGCCGAGGGAACTTTCATTTTCAAAATTGGATACTTTTAAGCATAATATATTAAATATTAACAAGTCATGAAATGAAGGTGATATCTATTAAAGACCCCAATAATAGTAATTTGTTTCGGGTATAGCCAAAAGTGAATCCCAATCGCTTGGGTGTGGTAACCCTGGCTGGTTTAAACTGAAATTTAAAATTCTTTTAAGGTATTTCAAATAGTTAAATTATAATAAATCCACAAAGCTCCAGTTTTCCTCGTCGTTTAAGTTTTGATGTTAAGTTAAATTGCTCTTACGGAAACATTATCATTAACGAGAATGTGAGCATTTTACCCAGATTGATGTTGTATCTTTAAAATGCAAACACGAATTTTTAGAGAATCATTCGAGCTGGAATACTATTGTTCAACTTAAACCCTATTTAAACACGTCATATCTCAACCTATCCGAACTACAGTTCATCTTTTTTATGCGCAATATAGATAAGGTTGTCCTCCGGCCGAACCTCGTATTTCAGTAGCTTCACATAGTTTTTAAGCAGCTTCCGCCAGTAGCACTTAATATCCTTCATGCGTAGGTGGTTCCAGATGAAGTCGTATCCTCGTTGGGCTATTTCTTGGGCCAATGCATCGTTTCTCTTAAAAAAAGTCAGGATTTCCTCATATTCCTGCTGACTGGGATAGCTCTTCAGCGGCACATAATGCACCCACGGCTTCAGTTGGTCGTAAAAAAACTCCTGCCACTCGTCGCCCACATGGAAGACCAGAGATTTGCAGAGAAACAAGTGCTTCAGTCGGAAACTGGCGGCCACTCCGCGGAAATTAAACAAGTATTTGTACTTGCAGTGGTCCTCAAAGGAAACCTCATCAGCGGCCGGTGTATCTAGAGTGTCCTTTGGAGACTTCCAGCCCTGGTTCTTGGTGTATTGGGCCTCCACCAGCTCGGGATTGCTGCGGGAGAGCAGAATTAGAGAATCACGCTCGTCGGAGGTGCGTGAGCCGCGAAAAAAGCCCATGTCCCGCTTTTGTGACCATGGAATAGCCGCCGCCCGCTTCTCCAGCTTGTCCCGCATCTGATCCCAGCGCCCGATGCCACGGGGATGTAGTTTGGTGGCCGGTCCGCCGGCCCAGAACGTCCACGCTGGATACATGATGTCCCGGTACTCCTTTGTCTTGGAGAACGAGAACACCGGGCCACCGGCAGTGTTTCCCCAGGCGGTGTTCAGCTGCGGGTAATCTCTGGTGTTTATTATTAGATCCATGTTGGGTAGCGTAGCCACCAGCGGCAGAAGGAAGTGCTCGATGCCCTGGCAACGGGCTGGGAACATGCAGTTGGCATCCCGGTACAATCGATGTTCGTAAACCTTATATTTGGTGCCATATCTCGCCGAACTTTCGATCATCTGCCGGCTGACACCTGTTGAATTGTAGGGTGCCAGATCCCGCTTCAAAACATCCGCGTGGCAGGAGCAATCGGTGTCCTTCGGGTCACTGCTGCAAGGCTTGTAGTCGGCATTAGCTTTATCGATCTCCCGACGTATTTTAAAGCTAACTAAATGCAGGAGTAGCAGTTTTAATAAAGTAAAATCAATGAAGGCAAAAAGTAGCTTACACTCATCCTGGTTTATGTCCTCAGGTGAATTTTGCCCACAAGTTTTTTGCTCGGCACTACATAGCCCTTCATCTTCTGCACCGCTTTTTTGTCCAAAACATGTTAATAATGCGATTAATATATGATTTAAAAGCATTTTTTTAAAGGTAAACAAATTTGGTGCCTACGATTGCGGCGTCAGCAATAGGGTTACCAAGTGCTTAGAAAATTATCGATAGGCACATTAACTCGTTTATTAAGATACTTTAATTTGAATAAAGGATTGATATCAATAAATACCTAAAATAAAAGCACAAACATTAAACAATTAAAAAATTTGCTTAGGTTGTATTTCGTTAAAACTCAATAACTAATAGCGAACTTCTTTTTACAGAATAAGATGTTGGATATTGTGTAAATTTTCTTGATTTAAATTCGAAAACTAGTGTTAAATAAACGATGCAAATTACGAAATTAATATATACAAATATTTGTTTCTAAAGCCTAGCAACCCTGCCGTCAAAACAGTGATTCAACTGTTAATTTTTTGGAGGACCGGGTTTCACCATACAATACAAAGCCTTCGTAAAACGAACAGCAGCTTGCATGGTGAGTGGTGCTTTGGTCACCCTAAACGCGTAACTGTTACTCTAGTTTTACTTTTCCACCACGGTGTGGTTACACTGGCCGCTATTACCATTATAAGAAAACCAACAAGAAACGTCGAAAGTTTTCTCCGTGTTTAAACCAACCAAATAGCCAAGTTACTAACGAAAACGACGATTTGCGAATCGCAAATTATGCGTGCGGCACTAAGTGCAATCGAAACCACGTAAACCCAACGAACGAGAGTGTTTTAGACCACCTGCAACTGAAACAAAAACAACCACCATTGTACATAATTTACACGAACATTTTTGCAACAACAACAAAGGACGCCGCGCTGAAAGAGAGAAGTTGACATAACTGCAAAAGTAAATTGTATTAAACAGTGGTGGGCACAACAATAAAACCCGGATAGTAATTTAGGCAACGAAAAGGAGAAAAAGAAGAAGAAAACTGCACACGCCAATTGGAGTGGGAGTGGCCGATTGCAGAAATGATGTTGTTTTGTTGAGCCAATTGCCAAAAACGCCATACAAATTCTACTGAAAAAGGTAATTTCATCTGTGCTTAATACATATTGTTATTTATTTTCAAGTGTATATGTATTTATGTGTGTGGGCGTACCGCGAATAACAGTTAATTGAGCACTCATCGATTTTTTAGCCCCTTTATTGTGGATCGTAAAAAATCAACTTAAATTCATTTTAACTCACGATCCGATCGGCAGATATAGTAGAAAAAGCAAAAACCGTTGGAAAAGTTGCCAGCCGTCGTCATTAAGTTGATTTGCTACCGCCGCTGATGCTGCGATTTAATTTACCCCATTCGCCTGGCATTTGGATTGCTTTCGAGCTCCAGTTTCCCATTCCGTCGCTTTCTGCCTGGCTTTTCGATTTTTAGTTTCCCATCGCCATGGCCGGATTTTCCTCGCCCAAAATCGTATCGCTTTCGTTTTCACATTGGACGGCGTTATAATGGTTTTTTTTTTTGGGTCCGCGACCTAGGGTCGCACCGCTCCTCCTCCTCGGGCGCCTGCCGCCCATCAAACCAACTGACTAATTAATGTTGAGTTATTAACTTGATAATTATCGCTAGCCATGAGCGAGGTGCACTACATTCGTTATGCAGAACAGGGAAACTTCCGTGATTGCAAACCATGTAAAATATTTTAATTGTGTAGTTGACTTAGAGAAAACAACATATTTGTTTTTATTTTTCAAGAAAAGAGTTTTTAAAATTATAATTAAAAATGTATGTTTTGGCATAACTTTGAGAACATTTTCTTAACCGACTTCTTTAACCCACTAAATCTTAATGAAAATAATTACTGTTATTCAAATTTAACAAGCTAAAGCAAGCTTAGGTTAGAGATACTTTGATGAATAGAACTAATAACCATTTTCCTCTTTAAGTTTTTATTCCTTTCTTTTAATTAAAGTGGGTCATAATATAATTGTTTCCCTAAAATAAAATTAGTCATATCGAAATAAACGGTAGTCGATTACTTTCGTAAATATTTGCGACACCGAAAAACAATTGACTTGACAAAAAATTAAAAATATATCCTGATAGAGAAAAGATTTGAAGTTGATGGAGGGAAAATATTAAGTTCTCAGATAAACTCTAAAATTAGAAAAGTTTCAACGAAGAAGAGTGCAAGTTACGGAAGTACAACTGTAGCTGTGTCTTGCAGTGACTAAGAAATAACTTTGATATCTTTGAGGTCTTTTTGTTAAACTCGTTTGAAACACCATATCGAAAAACTGAAAAAACAAAAACACAAACAGTAATCCGAGCTTGACGCTGACAAAAGCTTCGCTTTGTTTATGGAAATACATATCGTCATAATCAAGCTTTGGGCTCTGAAATCACACGTAAATCTCTGCGCATTCGAACGTATCAATGCGATTGGGAACGCTAACTATCTGGGAGTACGCTTTTCCAATCAATGGTTCTTGGGAAAAAAACTGCGACTCATTTGCATATCAATGGCGTGGCTCTAATGACTGGATTGATTTACATTTTGGGTAGCCTTTTTCGTTTGTGTAATGCCGGAAGTTGTTATAAATTCTTGAATTGATTACGTATAGATAATAGTCTAAGACTGTTTACAAACGAACGTCTGCCAGTTGGTCTGCTACCGTTGGTTAGTGGCCAACTTTAACAGCTGCCATTAGCCGCAGTCACGCAGTCTGGCCCATACATCAATTATGTATTCCTTTGGGCAGGCAAATGACTCGACCCCCGCCCAAAACCACCCAATTTTACACCCACTCCACCCCAGGAGCTGCATGCCTAACCCAACCAAATGATTCATCAAAACTTGGCGTAGGCAGTTTATGCAGATTCTTTACCTTTATGTCAGCCAAGTGGCTGTAACACATTTTCATTATGCTCTGCTCTCGCTCCCAATTTCGCCCTCTCAATTTTTCAGGTATTTTCTGGCTGTCACTGAGCATGCGCATTGGAAAATCGCTTTTCCAGAGCGGTAACTCGTATATTGAGAGGTGTGTTGAGTTTACAATTGTCAGGGTTGGGCTAACAACCTATTTGGGAAGTTATTTTGACATGCTAGTTTTATTTGAAGTTCAAATAATCTTAAAACTGTAAAATGTAGGCGGTTCTTAATCCTAAACTATTTTAATTACTGGAACCACTTTAAAATACTCTGTACTATAATAATTTATTTTTTTTTATATATTTAAAAAAAAAAAGTTTTCTTTTTAAAGTTATTTGTATAAGCATTTCGCTATTCTTCTTCATTTCCTCGTTTCAAACCAAAGAAGCATAAGCTGAATATGACAAACTGATTTTAAAAGCTTTACCAATTGGTTTTGCTTTGTACTTAATTTTAATACGATTTCTAGAGATAATACCCTTACATTTTTCACCTCAAAGACAAGTTACGCTTAGGAATTTTCCTCGTCTTGTTAACTCAATTGTGCACACTTTTTTTCGGTGATGATTGAAAGTTGGCTGCCAAGAATAATGTATCCATATCGCCGCGCATTGCATGTCCAGCTGTGTCAGACTCGATGGGATTCTTTGATGTTTTGAAACAGGCGGTCCGTAGATAATTAAGTACGAGCATATTGCGTGCCTGCTGAGTGACCGCTAGTAAATCATTAGCTCATCAGTTGGCGATTGTTAGCTAATGGCTGATACTGCAACTATGCAGTTGCAATGTAAGCTATCTGTTTGTGTCATTCACCTCGGAACGGGTTTCCTTGCTTGCGTCTGGCGGTGGATCTAATCTGCATAGAATGCGGATCGTCTTGGAAATGTCAACCCCCCATCGAAACCAGTTCTTCAATTGCCAGTGGGCCAAGCACGATTGGTAATTCGCTGTCGTTGGGGCGCATGCGTGACCGATCGACAGTTGGCTTTGTTTTCCTTCGGTTGTTTACTTTTTGGGTTATTGATCGGCCAGCGCACGATTCTATTTTCCGTCCGCTTATCAGCACGCACACAACGGAAACGCTAATACGGCGGATCTAGTCATGGGCTGTGTGTCATGCAGCCGTCGGCTATCAGCACGAGCACAGTGCTCCAGTTTTCCGACGCAGCTCCAGGGGCACTCTCCTGCGACTCTTGCTGGATATCGCTCTCCGGAATGCCCGGCGGACTTGGTTGTTCTCAATACCCTAACAGTGGGTAACGTGAGTGTTTTTGTGTCTTTTATAAATATGTTTCGTTTCAGTCGGGTGTTGAGATTATAAGCTCAAAAGATTTCAGAGACACCTCAATTTGTAAAACTTAAGTTTAACTTCATAATAACTCACATATATTTTTAATAAATTTAATAAATTTGAATTTTAATTCGAAAATTTCGGTACATCTTTTGTAATTATTTTATATTTTTGGACATATTAGTAATTTTATTCTCTTTTAAAAAATTAACTTCATATTCAGTAATTTATTCAGAAATAAATGATTTATTATTTGGGTTTGGTGGTTAATTTTTGGCCTATGCTGGTAGCCATATGCGACTGGAAGTGTTGGCCCACTGTGTGTAAAAGGCCTGGGGTAACTACCTCTGCCTCTGCCGCTGCCACCGCCACCGCCTTATGCTGCGCGGGCAGCGCCAGCATAACGGGCGGAGTGAGATGAGAGCGTTGCGAGCCGAGCGCCCAAATGAGTTACAGAGCAGCGCCACACATCGACGGTCGACGTTCGCTCGCCTTTGCCTGCTCACTTTGCTCGCTGGCTAAGTGATTCGGTCGTGGTTCGGTCGAAAATCGCCTTATCGTGTGTATCCCCCATGCGGAATTGAAATTGGAAGTGTATATGTCCACATGTCTTTATTAAAGTGCCTAAAATCGTGTACGATAAAAACATAAAGACGGTTAAGCCCTCGCTTTGCTTTCGTTTCACGCGACTAATTACCAAATCGATAAGTCCTGAGCAAAAGGCAAGGGTTCTCAGCCCCTCGGGAAACTCACCACACTCACTAAATTCTAAATTTCGTATCTCTCCGGGCTGTATTTTCCATTTCCAGCAGTGCGTAATGTGCATTTCACAATAATTTTCATTTGAGAATTGATTTCCATGTGGCTATTTTGTTTAACTGAATCACTAGTCGCCAAGTGTTCCGCTTTGTGTTTTTGTGCATATGAAATTATCAATTGTTTACCGCTTTATCGCTGAAACAAGGCCTTTGTAAAGTATATATGATATAATGGATACAGTCACTTTGTTTACTTCTGCACTGGATTTTCCTGCTTGGATCAACTCAAATTTATGTTTTGCAAAGGTAAATGGTTTTATTCATTAACAAATATATCTGCCAAGGCAGCCACAAGTTTGCATTTGTTTTGAAAAATCGATTTTTTAGAGAGAGAGGACGCTGCTCTCTTTCCGCCTCTCAGCTGTTTGTGAGGGCGAAGTGGGCGGTGGGCGATGTGCGATGGGTGGTGCTGTTCCAGCCCCTTTTCCTTGACACGCTACCTTTACTCGCAGATACTTTTCTTTTGCGTGCTGTGTGCAATTGATTCCGCTCCCCAATGGATCGCCACTGAGTCACTGGCCCACACTCTCCAAGATGTAGTTTTTCGGTGGCTGATGTCCAAAAGGCCATGCTAGAACCACATCGGCCAGCTGGCGGAAGAGGGTTGTTCCATGCGGTCGACGCGACATGAATATTGGCCACCCCTTGGTCGTGTGCCGGAACACTTTCTGCAAGGCAACCAATTTGGCCCTTATTTATTGGTTTCGAATCCCTTGGAACACGCCCCAAAAGATTGCAGTCCAAAGTCTTCTGTTAATTAAACACGTATGCAGTATTTATGGAGTTTCAGTATTAATCAGATGGTTTGCCACACTGAGAAAAGATATCAAACTTGATAGATAAAAAAGTTACTTAAATTTCAGAATTTGGGAGAAAACGTATTATTCAACGCTTTTGAAATCAATTTTATATTTGATGACTAAATAAATAAAATCCATCAAAATATTTAAAAAAAAATGTTCACAATACAAAAAAAAATGTTTTATTCCAATAATGTTCTCAAATTATCTTAATTAACTTAGTATATTTCACAATGATGTCAACAAATTTTGATTATATGTATGACATATTACATTTTTGCAGCCCATGGTACTGCCTTTAATTTGTAATGCCTTAGAATAATGACAAATTGTTTTGCACAAAACTAAATATGGGCGCACCTCAAGCTGCATATATACTGTGATCAAGAATTCAATTGACTGAGAAATAAATTTCATTACCTATGGCTTGCCAAAGCCGCATGTAAAGTATTTATAACCTGCACATATGCACAGTGAATAAATGGAGGCCATATATGACAGCCCAGAAGCGTCGCCCACATGCGAAGTTGCCGCAGAGATATAATAATAACTCTGAAGCAATATGTGTCGAGATATGTGCGTTCCCCAAGCTTCGCTCTCGTTTCTCCCTGGCGGTTGTCTTGGGCACAACGTAAACAGTTTTAAATTACAAAAGTGTTTGCAACGAGATTTGTCTGATATCTGAGATCCAGTCTCCCTTAATCTGCTTTTCTGTGAGAGGTGGTTAAGATACCAAAACCTGTCCATGCCATCAAGTGTTTGCATATCATCACTTTTACTGCCTGCAAAGAGTTTTCATTTGTTTGAAAGAATTTCCCCATCACTGCCACACCTGCTGGCCATTCATTGATCTGTGTTTGGTCTGTTCTCTTGGCCATATTCAAGATCAATTTGTTGGAATCCCGCCCGACATGTGTAGAACCACTTAGTGAGGGTATCTCAACTCTTCGTCCGCTGCTATTTGTTTTTATGAAACTAATGTAAAGACATTTTCGAATTTGGGTTAAAAATGTGTGAATGAAATATTGAATCGCTCCTCAAACATTATAAAAGAACAAGCAGACGTGCCCGGGGGAATCAGTAGTCTTTGGGCCGCTTTTTTTGTTTTGGAGTCACTTGGCATAGATTGGTAATGCCACTCGAAGACCCACAGTCAGGCAGTAAGATAGATAGAAAGATAGATAGGGGGCAGGAAACTGGGTCATTTGCCTAGCGTCTGTCTTGTTTAAATACTTGTGCCTGATTTATTGGGACTTTGTAAAGTTGATTAATCAAATTGACTCTTGCGCGGCGGCATTTATTTCTGGTTTCTTTTTTGGCCGCTGCAGTTTTAGGCATTTTTCTCACATTTTCCTTTACGTTTTGGTTTTTGGTTTTGTTGTCAAATTTATGGCCCTTTAGGGTCTTTGCCTGCGATGATATTGTGGAATTATGTTGCATAAGTTATGCACAATCTCCACCATTGTGTCCGTAGATAAAGCTTCATTAAGTCGCTTTCAAAAACACACAAAACCGGAAAGGATGCAAAGGGAACCGCACCTTTTTGTGAAATCCTATTAAGAGCGTAGGAGTTTCTAGGCCGTTCTTTATAGTTAAGTTCTTTGGGTCCAGAAAACCCATTGAACACAGATGTCCGGTGGCAGTTGAATAACCCACCCTTTGATTTCCATATGGAAAGCCCCTTTTGCATCGTTATTTTTAATGGATTATCTGGTGATTATTGTTATTGGCTTTCCCAAAGCTTCCGTTTCTTGCATTTCTTTCTCTTTTTGCTGATTAGCCAGCAAGCTAGCAACAAACGGTGCCGACGACGCCGATTTGATGGCCGTTGTCTCGCCAAAGTCTGATAATTGTGGGGGAAGCGAGATATAGATATACTTAAAGGTGCCCGGGGGGTACGTGGGGTTTTTCGGGTCCACAGAGGCGGGAGACATTTGCCTGGAATTTCGCGCCGCTTTATGGTCGTTGTTGTGCGAACATTTTTCCCATTTGTTTTGTGGGGCCCGTAATGATATACCCAAGACCATGGCATCTTTTCCAACGAATGTGAATTGAAAATTACTTTGCTGGCTCTTTTTATTAGGTTTTGATTTCTCTTTTTTTGTGTCTTTTAAGCGATTACAAAACTTCCACCATTAATAACGACGATAGTCTTTTTTCTCCCATGACGCATCGAGACGAAAAATTGTATGCCATTTTTGCATAGCTGTAATTGATGATACGCTCCAAGAGTTTACAGAATATTATGCACTGGCCATGGTGCACTTCCGCTCCATTTGAAGTCAATGAGATGCTTGATTGCGATACCTGGCAAATGGGGTCGCAAAACTGGTATTTTCATTTATATTCTAAAAAATCACATTTATCAACTCAAATTTTGTAATTTTCATAATTTAAAAAAAAATTTCTAAGAACTCAGTAAATTTAAATATATTTACTAAAATTATATTGGCTAAACACATTTAATTCAATGAGTTCTCTCTATTCAATAATAGCATAACATTTTGCTCTGTTTTTAATTGAGATCACCAAAGGTGAATCAATAAATTAGCTTAATAAGTTCAATAACAATATTTAATTGATATAGAAATGTCATGAGATGTCGTTTTACAAATGTGGCTTTTATTTATCGTACTTCTGCACAATTTTGCTAATAATTCTTCTCGATTCTTTTGTCATTGCAGGTAAGCTTCATGTTAAACTAAGCGGAAATGCGTGCGTCTCACATCCCATATGGCCATGGGCAATCGATTGACAGACGGTTCAAGGTCGCGGGGGCTGCCCACATCCGATGGACGGGTATTAACGAGTGGCCATATCTCTCACTGAATCGGTTTGAATTGAGCGCTGCGTGCTCGAGTGCTTAAAACCCAGCCCAGGCTGTAGACACGTCGAGCTGCGTCCAAGAGATTCGGTTCGATTGACACAAAAACTGTGAGGCAGCGAGAATTACTATTTAAAGATTTCTGTTGTTGCAGTTCAGTCAAATGATGAAAGCTTAATGAATTGTTAAAGTTTTGTTCTCTAAGTAGGGTTAGCCATTTTTGAGAAACAACTAGAAAGAATTCTACTCAATTTAGGCTCCGATTTTCCTTTATTGATTTTTAAAATTTACCAAAACAGGAAAAAAAACATATTTTCAATACTTTTCTATATATTTTTTAAGTCCATCAAAAAGAAAGTGGCAGCACTACGTCCCACTCTTGAATCTATAATTCTACACTTGGCTTACTTTTCAAGTACTTTATTTACGCCTTGTCGTCATTAGTAAACCATACACTTGTCACCACTGTTCATCGGCGTGCCCAGAGCACAGCCAAATTCACGACCGAACTCCGCGGAGTTGCTCAGCGGTCCATTCACGTCCCACCTCTCGGGTGTGTGCTGCATCAGGGGCATCGAGTCCAGGATGGCTTCCTGATTGTCCTTCGCCCAGCAGCGCGTCTGAGCAAAGTATATGAAAAACAGCTGGGTGTTGGTGAAGTTCAGCTCTGGCAGTGTTTCCTTGGCTAGGAGTGGGCGCATATTGGGATCCTGCTGCTCCAGCCAGGCCAAATAGGCGTTGAAAGCCAAGTTGAGACCGCTGCCCTCGGCTATAATCTTCCTTAGCCGGGTGGCATTGCGAAACTCGCCAGGTTCATTGTAGAGGTAACTACTGTACTGAGACCGCTGACATTCGCTGACATTTCGGTAGCCAGACATGGTCAGCTCGTTCCACTGAGACGTCGCCTGTGGATGCCGGTTCCATCCCTCGTCGTCGAATGCCTGCACCAAGGCGCTGGCCAACCTTTGACCCAATAGAGCATACTTCAGTGCCCTGGGATAGAAGTAGTTGTAGTAGGGAGCCTGGAGCAGACCCCAGCCCACCAGGACCGTATGCTGGCGGGGTGACAGAGCAGCGCGCACTTCGAAAGCATCCAGGATGCCGTCTCCATCCTGGCCATAATCGTTACCCTTCAGGCCTTCGAACTGCTGTTGGGAGCGGTATTTGAGTGCAATCTCCAAACGCCGCCAGTAGTCTTCCGACTTCTGGAACTGCAGAGCGGAGAGATCCAAGCTCTGGTAGTCCGGCAGAGTGACTCGGTACTGCGAGAGTCTGGTCCTGGCCGCCCTCCGATCGTTCTCGTCCATCCACTCGACGTGCAACTGCTCCTCCAGCGCCTTGATCACATCGCTGAAGACGGCCTCCAGGTCGTGTTTGGCATTGTCGCGCTGCACATGGCGCTGGAACATCTCGCCGAGCACCTGGGGAAAGAGGCGCTGCGTCACCAGGACGCACTGGCGGGCACGTTGCGATGGCGCCTCTTCGGGCGGCTGATTGAGCTCGTTAAGGGCCAGGTACATAATGTAGCCACCGACAGTGATGCGATTGTTGGCCTTCACCGTCCTCACCAGATGTTTCACGTATTCCGGGGAGCGCAGGTAGACATCTGGTTGGTATTGATTCTCCAAAATTACCTCCACGAACATTTTAAAATCCAGTTGATTGCCCATTTCGCTTGTGAGTTCTGCTAAGCTCATTCCCGGCTTTTGGCGATGTAAACGCTCTTGGCCAGTTCGCGAGCGGGCTGCATAATATGGAATAGTGGGTTGGGATTCTTCTGCGGGCTTTTGGGTATCCTCGTCTCCCATTCGCTTGCAGAGTTCAAATTCGAAGCGAATAAGATCTCCGGCAAAACGGGCCGCCTCCCCAGTGTCAATGGCAAACCAATCGCGCAGGTTATCAGCCACCTGCTGCTGCACCCGGGTATGTACTTCATCCTTAACATGAGCTTCCCGCGTTGCCAAGGCATTGCAATGCTCCGCAGGAATAATGGTTAGCTTGGGCTCGCCCAGGTATATGCTTTTCCCCTGCATATTCTGTAGGTTCAGATCGATTTCCAATCCCAGAAGTATGTCCAATCCGTAGTTCCGCTTCAATTCGCCCAAAGTTTGCACCCAATGACGGTTGTGCTGCCAGTTGGAGTTGGGTACATTGCGTAATCCCCCATTGTCCTTGAGGATCTTCATCAGGAAGCGACGTCTTTCGCCAGCATTCGCTTCCACGGCCACACAGGAATCGTAGAAGGCTCGCACTTTGCGGACATTCGTCATACTTGGTCCATTGTAGCCATTGGGATGCTGTTGCGGTGGCAGTGGCTGCGTGAGGAGTTGCTGCAATTGCTCCGAGATTTTGTTCTCCATCAGCTGCTGGGCGGTGGACAACTCATCCGGACGAAGTTGCCGCTTGTGATAACGACCCCACTGACCACAGGCATACTCGAAGAAATCCGCACATGGATCGGCACTCTGGTTCATGTACTTTTGCACATCCGCCGACACTAGTTGGCGCACCATTTGTTCCTCACGTGAGTCTGGAAAGTTTCCGCCCATCTGCATGCGATTCATGTAGTGTCTGGCTCCAGTCACTTCGCAAAGCTGGATTTCAAAGAGGAGCAGCAGCTCGAGCAGCAATCTCAAGCAAGCGCTTTTGGTAGCTCTCATCTTGGCGTTAAAAAGTCAACTGACTTGCTGTTTTCAAAGGTTTGATAAGCCGCAGATCGTAGGCATTCTCCAGGCTTTGCTTGAACCTGGGAGAACTGGGTCAAGTTCGCTCTCAGTCCCTGGGGGTTATCGCACCCATCCAAGCTCTGGGATCTGCGAGAGAAGTAAACAAACTCGGCCTCGTCAGCCGAGAACTTGGCATTGGCAGCAAAACAACATCAGTGGCTTGGTGACAAGGTTTTCCTCCTATCAAGTCAGCGAATGCTGTAATTCCTCAGTTAGAGACAGGAAAGTATTTCCGTTTATTGTATGTAGTATCAACAAAATCTAAGCTACTGTCGATGTAGTACGAGTATGTCTAGGAAAAGGTTTAATTTGTTTATTTCCAAGATATGACATGTGTCAAATGTTTGATGATCCAAAGGACCAGATATGTTTAATAAAAGTTAAGTTTAATTTCTTTTATATTTGTATATATCAAATATTTTGTTTAATAATTTTGTATATGCTGCAGCCTTTAAGAAGTTTATAATCAAATTTGTATTAGTATATGGTGCACTTGGTGGCAGGATTCATGGGTGAGCCAATGGGACAATGAAATTCCCTAGCAAATTCAGCTGAATTCCGCAAGGGTCCGTTCACCTGCAGCCGGGTCCAGGTGTGATTCTGTCTTGCACTGTACAGGAATCCCCCTGGAATCCATTGGTTATCCCTTGAACGAATCTCGTCCAGACTACAGTGCTGTTGGGCGTAGGATACAAAGAATAGAGCCGTGTTCGTATAGTTAAGACCCGGTAGCGTCTCATTGGTCAGCGAAGTGAAGTCGTTGTTTGGCTCCTGGAATCCCAACCAGGAAAGATAAGCCCGAAAGGCGACACTGAGAGCTCCACTGTCCGTGATCAGCTGCCTGGTGGCACTTGAATTGGCTCTCAAATAATGTTCTACCTGCCGGGCAAAGCATTCGCTTCGAATGTGAAATTGCCAGGCTGTCAGCCCATCCCAAGTGTCCCGCTCGAGCAGGCCAACCGACCAGTGGGGATCGTCGAAAGCCATAACCAACTGTTGTGCCAGCCTAACGCCCAATGTGGCATAGCGGAAGGCGTGGCCATAGTGACGATCGTAGGCAGGAGGCTGCAGCAGGGCCAATCCCATATCCAAACGCTGCAGAACTGGTCTCAGTCGCACCCTGTCCTCAAAAGCCTCCACGGGATCGGAGGGCGGGGGTCTGAATTCATCGGAGAGGCGGCTCATTCTCTGCGACTGAACCGCTCCCAACAGCTGGCGGAGATTGTGCCAATAGTTGCCGCGCTCCATCTGCAATTTGAGGATCAACGGAGTCTGGTAACTGGGCATCTGAATCTTAAAATTTTTTAGCTTTTCCTTGCCCACTCGCTGGCTGCCCTCCTCTAACCAATCTGCACTCAAACTTTGCCTCAGGGCTGCTTTCAATGTCTGATAGAGTTGTTCCAGATCTAAACTGTTAGCCTCAGTTCCAAACTGCCGCGCATATAGTTCGCCCAAGGCCGAGGGCATCAGTTCTTTGTTCCGTTCCAGACACTCTTTCTTTCTCAACTGCGGGCGATCCTCCAGCGGAAAATTCAGAGCAGACACCGCACGGTACATGATATAGTTGGCCACCAGACTCATATTATGAGCGGTCACGGTTCGCTTTAGCTGCCGAAAATACTCCGGTGCTGCCATGTAAACGGGCTTAACGATTTCCTGGCCAAAACTCGCCCTCACATACGAAACCAGGTCTAGTTCGAACAAATTCGAGAACTCATGCAGTGTTTTGCGGGTGTAGTTTGCCAGGTAGAGCTGCTCCTCGGCATCCCAGGGATCGAAGGATCCACCTCGCATTCCACCACACAGCTCATGCTCGAAGCTGAGGATGTCGGCGGCCAGGCGAGCGGATTCCTCACTGCCCAGGGCCAACCAGGCTTTTAGTTCGGAAGCCACTCGAAGTTCCAGCGGTTCGTAAACGGAGTCCCTGATATCTGAGCGATTTTGGGTGCACAGCTCCCGGGGAATTAATGTGCTCGGTTCGCTTAAATACAAGCTGTTCTCGTTCACATTGCCGTAGTTGTAGCCCACACGGAGTCCGATGAGAATGTCCAATCCATAACGTAGCCTTAGCGTGCCCAGCACCCTTGGCCAGTCGTAGTCGTGGTGATGCACCGCCCACTGTGATCCCGGAACTGCGGGAAAACCTCCATTTTGGCTGATGAAGTCGCTGAGGAACTGCTGCTGTTGCTGATTCTGCTGAGCCTGGACGCAGGACTTGAAGAACTCCTTGGCCTGTCGCGCTATGACGCTGTCCTCTCGCCTCACAGTCTCCTCCAAGAGCTGGATAAGATCGCGGTCCGTTTGCTGCTGCAGTTGCTCTCGGGGTGTGGATGTTGACTTCCAATTGCCGCAGGCATAGGCGTAGAAATCCACACAGGGATCGATGCTATCGTTCACATGTTTGCCCATCTCCTGTGCCTTGAACTGGCGCACTGCCTTTGCCGTTTGGTAGATTCGCTGGAAAGCCGGTGGCGCATCCTCGCCAGAAACAAATGCATTCTGTCGTAATTGTGTCAGCAACCAGAACAACCAGAGAAAAACGGTCGTCCAAACCGGGTCCGACATGTTGCCGGAGCTCGGTGAAGCTATCGACTGCCTTGCCCATTCCAAATCGCATTCACGAAGCAGAGCATCCGAGTTGATATGACCAGGGGTCAGTTGGGGTTATCGAACAGAAAGAGAGTGAAGCGGGCAGAGAAATATATTCGTTTCCAAAAGCTGATGGGAAAACGTTGTAAGCATTACAGAAAAATAGTCTGGAATTTTTTGAGTCACAGCTAAACTCAAATATGCTTGCATAATTGATGAATTCACTTTAATTAAAAGACACTATTAATTCACTAATGCCTATCATCATATACACATACATTTCTTTATGGTAAACTGAATTTTTCTATGCATCCTAAAATAGGAATAAGCGTTGAGCAATTTATCGTTGATAAAACCCATGGAAGTTAATACTTTTCAATGAATTTTAAAAACAAAAAGTTAAATAGTTTAAGTTAGAGGTTATACTTGATATAATTATCATCAAGTAGCTATTGTTAGGTGTGTTTCTTTTTTGGACTACCATTTTTATTAAATATGGGTCATGTTTTATAGAATTTGTAAAACCGTTATTGTAATCAATAGAAACTCAAACAAATGTGCATTATAAGTGTTTATTTCGTAGGCTGCTGTTATACATTTAAGGCGTAATGGAGGGCAGAGACTCCTCTTAGTATAGGTTGCACTTGTAGCGGGCATTTAGCTTATCTCCTCTGGAGCAACTGTAGGCGTTGGCGAACTGCTGCGAGTTGGACAGCGCCGTGTTGATGCGCAGCTGCTCGGGCAGCTCATCGAACCGCTCCACAGATTCTGGATAATCGGTGCAGTAGAGTTGCGCATAGCCCAGGTAAAATAGCTGATTGTGGTTGTAATCGAGCAGCGGCAAGCTTTCCCGCTGATAAATAGCCGGAGTTTCGGCGGCATTCTTAAGCCACTGTTGGTAGGCACGATAGGCAATGTCCAAAGCTCCATTGTCAGCCACAATCCGACGCAGCAGATCCTTGTCTTGCACGGGTTTTCCCTTGAACTCCACAAAGATGGCATACTGCTCCTGGAAGCACTGAGTGCGTCGAGCGTAGGAAGTCTCCGAGGTGTCATCCCACCAGTTGTTTTGGTAGCCATGAGCATCGTATCGCCTGCCCACGCCATCGAATCCGTGCAGCATTTGACGGGCCAGGAGCACGCCCAAAGTGGCGTACTTCAGGGCATTGGGATAGGCGGGATCCCAGAAGAATCTCGCTTGCAGGAAAGTGATCGGTACCTGGATGCGGTTCTTCTGCATCTCGTAGTGCGGCAGCTTGTACACCTGATCTTCGGTAATCGGTTCCGCCATTAGTTTGGCCAAACCGCGCTGTGTCTGCCACTGGAGAACGGCCACCAAATTGGGGTAGAAACGTTCCGGATGCAGATTAAGTCCGTGCATTTGGCGTATCAACTTGTTGTCGTCGTGGCTCCGGAACTGCAGATTTAAGGCCTCCAGTTTGCTGATGGCCTTCTGCCTGGTCTCCAGTGTTAGCCAATGCAAACGCTCCGAGGCCTGCAGATCCTCTTTAAAGACCCTCTTGATATCCGACCAAGTGGACTGCAGCTCATTGATCATCTGCATATGATTGTAGTTACGGTGGAACAGGCTCTCCAGCTGATGTGGGAAATAGCGCTGGGCCAGCTGGACACACCAAATGTCGGGCGGCTGGGATTGCGGCACTCGAGCGGCATCCAGAGCCTCCAATGCCTTCCACATAGTGTAGTTGGCCAGCTTCAGTTTGGGTGTTTCCCTTATGACATCCACCAAATTGGACATATAATCCTCGGGATTCTCATATATATCCATGTACAAGTTATCGTTGAAGATTAACTGCAGATAGCGGGTCACATCCACGTAGCTGCCATAGGCGGCCTTCATCTCGGCGGCGGTCCTTTGGCGAGTGGTTTGCTCCAACGTGAGGGCTGCATTATGGGGCAATCCCTTGGCCAGCTGCTGCTCCATTTCCAGCACCTGATTAGCCACCTCCCGCAGCCAGTGTTCCGTTTGATCGGGGAAATAAAGCTGTAGCTTGTTAAATATTGAACGTTCGTAGAGTTCCCGCGTCCCTGCAAAGTGAGGGTGCAAATAGTGACGACGCGTCATGGGTAATTGGGGGGCTCCCAGCTTTAAGCGGTGCATTTTCTCCTCCTTGTAGTCAAGGATCACTTCCAGTCCAATGAAGATGTCCACGCCCAGCCTACGTTTCAGATTAGCCACCACCTGCAGCCAATCGTACTCGTACTGATACCAGGAGGGCACCCGAATCTCCGGCCAACCGCCTCGGAAATCGGCAACATTTAGCAGCGTAGCCAGAGCGGATCGTGTGTCGTTCGTTTGAAGACGGCAAGAGCCAAAGAAGTTTTTCAACTGCCGATCGGCACTGTTCTCGGCTCCCCTCGTGGCACTCTTGAGCATCTCGGCGCTTTTCCGTATGTACAGCTCTTGGAGCTCCTCCAGGTAGTTGGTCCGCAGATTGGACACTCGAGCGGGATGCAAGCGGGCCCAATTGCCGCAGGCAAAGTTGTAAAAGTTGCTGCAAGTCTCCTCCGGGTTCTCGCCCATATACGCCTTTATGTGGGCCGCTTTGGCCAGGCGTAGGATGTCAATCGTATAGTTGGTGGCAAAAGGATGCGGAGCGGCAGCATCTGACAGGCAGATGGAGACCAGGATGACTCCCAGCAGGAGCCTTAGCGGTTGATAGATCATAATCTACGGCGATACGGCGACTGTGATCCGTGTGATCCGAATGATTGCCGAAACGAAACTGAGCGTGAATCGAGAGATGCGTCGATTTTTGACTTGAGCACAGAACACAGAGCACTGGCTTATCGTCACCACCGCTTGATTGGTTAATTAGTTCCATTAACCGTTGCAGTGAAATCGCTCAGCTGCTCAATTACGCGACTGACCTAAAATTCTAATGCCAGTGCTCATTTTCATTCTCTGGCATCTGGCAATCGCGTTTTGTGGGCTGTATTCGCACTTGACCCTCAAGGTAGCTGCTCGCAGAGCCCCCCTCCCGTCTCTTATAAAATTGTTTAGCTAATGAGCTAATGACTTTTCCGGGCCCAAGGTTGGGGCCGACTCATCACCATCCTGTAGGGTATAATTAAAATTTGTTTGAGCTCACTTAGTTGCTTCGTGCCGTAATTCTAATGATGCCCCTTCTGCTTCTTCTCCTCTAATTGCAGATTGAAATTTCCCTCAAGCTAGATTTCTAAAAACATTTTTACCACGGAAATTGACTAGAAATTGCCAGCCAGCAATCATCACCAGACAACGGCCATCAAGGAAATTTAAACACGGTAAGGGATTGCCTTTTCTTTTAAGCACTTACAGTTGCGGTCAACATAATAGTTATAATAATATTAAAATTAAATAATTAATAATTAAAATTGAAGAAACAAGGCAGCCATTAAAAAATTTAGTTTGGTTTCCATTGAAAAAGTCTCAAAAAGTATGCAATGAAAATTTATATTAGATTTATTATTATTAAACCAAAATTCAAGTCAATATCACCAAGTCACTTGTTTCACTTGTAAATTTGTCTACAAAAATGGACAGCTTAATGTTTTTTAGAGCGAGCAACTATGTAAAAATACTCCTCATTGTGTGGTTTAACTATGAATTATCAAATGTTTGATATTGACCGCAACTGTATGTTTTACACATTTTTTGCACTCGTAAATTGTAAAGGCTAAGTGGACCTTATGGCACAAAGCCAAGACAAAGAGCCATAAATTACTGCACTGTCATCCAGCTGGAATCCATTTACTGTTTGCAACAAACTTGCTTTTCAAAGTTTTCGTTTATTTTTTCCAATGGCGCTAGAACTTCGGGGAACTTCTAAGTTTTAATAAATAAATTAGTATTTGCTACAACTAGTTTCTTAGTCACTAATTTAATACTTGATGTGCCGTCTAACCAACGGTGCTTTTAAGTGTTTGTCCGTTGAGACGTTTGTCAATCTCCAGGGGGTCCAGGGAAAAGTTGTACTTGACATGATAGCCACTGTTGTCGGCCACATAGGTGGCCGTTTCCACATACACATAGTTGGTCTCTTGGCCGGTCAAAAAGTATGAGGAGGTGCGTTTGCCCGTGATGATCAGTTCGGGTTTCTCGCCAGAATCCTCGGACGTATCCTTGAGCTCACCTTTTTCATCTCTCTCCCCGAAGACCTCCTTGATGCTAAATACACGATCTTAAAATATGATTAAGTTTATAAAGAATTAACCAATTAAAAACTTACTGAAATTCATAAAGAACTTTGGTGGAAGCATAATTTCGTTGGATATATAAAACAAACAATACGAACACCAACAGGAACTGAAAAAAATTTTCAAATTGTTTTGTTTACTCCACGTTTTTCCATTACAATTCGACTTACTGTTCTAACTCTGATCATTATAGTTCAAGTTGCTGGAAGGCACTGAATGAATGAAATCCATGATGCGATTACGATATTTATTTGTTTTGTGTTCTTGCAGTATATGCAATACAACGGAACTAGTAAAACCGGTCGCTAGCATTGCAACTGAGAGTTTTTGATCTAGCGATTCCGCACCACTTATTCTTCGGATAGATAGAAATTGAGAGAGATATATTTATGATATTGCTGATGTGCTGTCGGCAAACGCCCCAAAACGGGTTTCCACCACTCGTGTTGTGACTATTTCCATCGGTATTGACTGGATTTAATAATTGCCCCCCAACGATGCTGATTGACAGTAATTGCATCTATTGGAGCGTCTAGTCTTTGGGGGTTTCTGTGTCAAATAAGCTTCGGGGAAAATCTCAGGGAAATTTCGAAAATCTTTTCAATTTGGGGTTGTAACTATTAATAACAAATTAAATTTCCAAGTCCTTAAAAATTCTCGAATGCGAGAATTTATAATACTTTACTTTGCCAAGCCAGCCAAGGTTCAGAAGTCGTAACTATATATCAGTATGATATTTTGTAACAATGCTTGGGTTTGGTTTGGTACTTAAACTTAGTTTTATATGTTACTAAAAGTTTATCTCTCTTTGCAGTGTTTTTTTTTAGCGAAAACGAAAAAGTTCTAAAAAAAACTTTTAGGTAATAAAGTAAGCGGTGCATTATGACACAAATTTTAACAACATTTTCAAAGTAGTATAGGAATAGACCCAAAGTTTTATGTGCATATCCTTTGCAACCAATGTAAGCCAAGTTATGACATTTCTTTAGAGTCGTAGTAGTTTGTTATGAAAGTGTTGAAAAGTTTTATTTTTAATGAGACGTACTGCATTTTTGCAATGATTTCCAATAGAAAAGACAGCTTACAACGATTGTGCTAGCCTAAAATGACGAGTACTTTCAAAAGTTGTGAACTCAGTCGTGTTCCAATACCAATGGGAGCGGGTTCACACTCAACGGGAGAACTAGGCACATTTTTATCAAATATTTCCCTGCTGACTTGCGTTGTGCTTGATGTGGAAGTCGGTGCCAGAGTTGGTAAAGGTACTAGTCTTCTTGTACTGAAGTCTCCAGGAGTAATCGTCGTACTACTTTCTTGTTCATATGGCAAGAACTGGGAAGAATCTCCTTCCGAATTGGCAGTCACAATGGGATTACATAATTTTCTATCCACTGGAGATTCCTCAGAAGTCCTCAGTGGGTTTAAATAGTTCAAGTTTATGCCAAACGAATTGGCAAAAGCAACACAGCCAAGTAGGATCAATAGAGACTGTATATAAAATTATTATAAAACAATCACTATAATGCGGTTAACTTGGATACTTACAATCGGTTGCATTTTTGATCTGATACTGAGGGAATAAATCTATGACAGTCGGTTTTATATAGCTTGCTGTTAGTAAATCATAACATTACTCATTCAGTTATATAGTAAATTGAAACGGGTTCAGATTGTTAGACGCATTGCGACACAATCTGCTTGACGTTTACAAAAACATTAAAATTCCATTTATAATTTTTCTTGGAACTCGAAACTTTTTTTTTATACTAAACAATTTTTTTTATGAATAAGCCATCTACTAAGCTAAGATAACGAGAGTTTTAAGAGTTTTTTCATCTAATCGTGACCCAATACCCTCGGGAAGGGTTTCACAATCTGTTGGGCCCAAGGTGAAAGTTTTTTTAAGGGGAGGCAGAGCTTCAAGTTCTCCTAGACTAAGGAAAGGTAAATTTTCCTTAAATGTTCCTCCGATGTGTTTCGAGGTGTTTAAAGTGAAAGTTGCAGGAAGATCTGGTAAAGGTGTTCTTGAACCTACGTCTCCAGGACTTATTGTTGTACTACTTGTCTGTTCATTTGGCAAGAACTTGCGGAAATTACTTTTCAAATTTGTAGACCCATCAGATATTCCTGGTTGGCCTAAAAATCTCACGGTTAGGTCAGAAGAAATGGCAAAGGCAGCCCAGCCAAGTAGGAGCAACAGAATCTGTAATAAAAGAACAAGTTGTTTTTATTTGGTTTAAAAATCTGGCTCAGTACTCACACTCGGTTGCATTTTAGTTTTTTACTGAACCAATATATCCCTGGTCGTCGATTTTATATGTTTTAAACCGACATATAATTAGTAATGCATAACATTTCCCACTAAGATATACAGTGATTGAAAACGAGTTCAGATTATTAGATGCATTCTGACACATGGCGTGCCGTTTGAATAAAACTATTAAGGCATTTTAAAATACTAGTTGATTGTTTTTATTGCTCTAATTTTTTATATGAGTTTTAGTAACGAGTGATTTTAAAGTTTGGGCATCCAGTCGAGGTCCAACCCCCTCGGGGTGTGGTTCGCAGTCATCCTGAGAATCGGGCGCCTTTTTATCACGTATTTCCTTTCCATTTTGTGCCGCGCTTGAAGTGGAATTGGGTGCCAGAGTTGGTAAGGATGGGTCTCCAGGCTTATTTGTTTTGCTACTTGGCAATAACTGGGAAGAATCACCATCCGCAGATGCATCAACCATGGAACTACACAATTTGGTATCCATTTCTGGCTTCTCAGTGGTCCTGGGTGGTTTTAATAAAGTCTGGTTTAATCCCAAGGAATTGGCGAATGCAACGCAGCCAAATAGTAGCACTAAAATCTATATGTGAACAAGTTAATAAGTATCTATAAAATCCGGGTTCTTTGGATACTTACACTCGGTTGCATTGTTGATCTGAAACTGAAGCAATAGCTCTCTAGCACTCACTTTTATATTGATCTCGCTATTGATTAGTAATTCATGAAATTACCCATTCAGTTATTTAGAAAATGAAAACTAGTTCGGATTGTTAAACGAGTAACACTTGAAAAAACTAATAAAATTTATTGGTGATTCTACCTTTATTTTAGTCAAAAGTTGTGTTTGAATTATACGATACTATATATTTCATGATTAACATAGCTAACCTACTGTAGTTTTAAGAAGGGTTTTTAAAGTTTGAGCATTTAATCGGGAACCAATGCCTTCGGGTAGTGGTTCGCAATCATCCGGAGTTTGCTCACCGTTTTTCACGCTAACTTCGGTTGGACTTGAGGTTGAAGTGGGTTTAGGAATTGGTAAAGGTTCCAGTTTTTTTGATCTGAGGCTATCTACATTTCCATCGTTTGTTCTTCTAATGAGTCCCGCAGTGCTAGAAGTTAATGTTGGCTTAAGCGTTGTTAGAGGAACTAGTCTTCTTGTGCTGCCATCACGTACATTTTTAATGTCTTCTCCACTGTTGATTTGCATTGTGCTCAGGCTGGATATAGGCTTAAGAGTTGGTAGAGGTACAAGTCGCCTTCCATTGAGGTATGGTACATTATCAATATACTTTATACTACTGATTTGAGTTGAAGTTGAAGTGGAACTGGGTGCAAGAGTTGGCAAAGGTACAAGTCGTCGTGTGGTGGCTTCTTCAGGTGTAGTCGTACTTTTTGGCTGCTCATTTGGTTTCGAACTCGTAGTTTCAATGGGTTTACATAGTTTGTAATAACTTTCTGCTTCTTTAGTTGAAGGCTGATCATTGTTTTCATTAGATAATTGTTTTCTTGATGAAACTAAAAACAGTTGGCTTATGCCAAATGAATTCACAACGGTAACCGAGGCCAGAAGAAGAAATATAATCTATACGAGAAACTTTTATTAAAACATTTTCACAATGCAATCCGGTTTACTTGAATACTTACACTCAGGTGCATATTTGATCTGATACTAAAGCTTAAACTCTCTGGCATTGGGTTTTATAATGAACTCGCTCCAAACAATTTCCCATCGAGATTGAGAACACATAACAACTTGTTTAGTTTGTTTAAATGATTCTGAAACATACTTAGGGGCGTTTCAAAAAAATCAATATAAACAAAATAAAGTAAGGGAAATTAGTTAGGCTTTATTTTTGCAAAATTAAAAAAGTTTTAAACCATCTCCTTCGGGATTATTATTGTTTTCATCACTTGGAGTGCTGGTGCTTGTTGAACCTATCGATCGATTACATTTCATTCGAATATGAAAACGGGTTCAGATTGTAAAAGCATTTCGGTGCGTACTTTAAGGCATTTGGAAAAAATTAACGGAATCCAATTCTATTTGTCAGTTGTTATATATATGTAATGCATTTTGTGGAAACTGGTTCCAGATTGATTGAATTCCATAAGGCGTGTGAAAAGTCAAGTCACCGAGTAACAAGTCAAAAAAATCAAATTGAGAAATAGTAGTTTTATGAATTTAATAAATTAGAAACTTAATTAATTTTTTTTTTTCAGTTGATACCGATAAACAAATATACATAGATCAGTTAATTTATGCCAGAATCTTTAGTAGAGTTGCACTTAGTCTTGTTCCAATAGATTCTGGGTCGCAGTCATCCTCAAGAACTGGATTACAATTGATGTCTGTTGGCTCATCATTGGTTTCGGATTTGATTGGTGAATCTTTGGTATAGTTATCCCTCGCAGGTTTTTGTCTCAGAATAGTAAGAAGCTTTTGGATTCTTGCCTTTGATTTTAGAAGATCTTTGTCGGTAATGGTATTTAAATCGTTTTCCTTCGCTCTGTGCCTTATTGCATCTTTGAACCATTCGGTTGATGTTGATAGATCCTTGTCAATCAATTCACCGTTTGTTGAGTTTTGGGTGAGGAAACTTCCGCCTCCCCAACTTAACTTCAGCAATACAATAACGCATACAAGGATCGTAGTCAATAAAAACTGTAAGAGAGAAAAATCATTTATTATTATCCTCTGAGATCGTCTCGGTACTTACAATCGCATGCATGTTCAGTTGTGTTCTGTTATGAAATTCCACTTGGTAGTGAGTTTTATATCGACGTGGCATTGCTCGTTTGCAATGCATAAAATTACCCAGGTAGACAAATCGTTGTCATAGCTTATAGTTTTTTTTTTATTGTGGGGCGCACGTCCAGTAATTTTGTACGGGCGTTGTTAGAATTGGGAAAATCTATTTTAGACTACGACTAGGGGCTTGAACATCGTTGAACTGTTCTATACTTATAACTGTGAATGAGATTTGCTCACGGCGGCCAAAAGTTGTAAGCCATATTAGATAACCAATGTTTTAGAGCTGATTCATTCGATAAGTATTATGAACAAATTTTAATAAGTTAATGTATCATAAAATTGATTAAAATGATAAGTGCGACAAACCTGACTTCTTGGTAATTGCCTCCCTCGGATGGCACGCGTCATGACACATAATATTAGTGACTATGACTAGTCATTACTATCATGTTAAAGCGGTTTCTAATGTAAACAAACAAAACACGTTTTCTTAATTCTGGCAAAGAGTGTTCTGTTGTCGTCTCTTAATAAGCAAGGTAATTATTTTATATCGATAATTATTTTCGTATCATATCCTGACTATTACAAATATCTAGTAAAAAAAATAAGTTAATAAGTTAATTGTGTGCACGGCTTTATTATAATTGTGGTTATAAGGTGTCTCTTTTATTAAAAATTACACAATGTAAACATTATCAAGTAGCGACTCAACAGCTAGCGTAGAAATTAATGAATGAGCTTATTTATTTAAGCCACAATTTATAATCTTAGTAGTAATCAAACGTATTAATCGAGATTAAGCTCACTTGTGGACAAATTTAAATATAATACAAAATTAACAACGCAGATTGCTAAGGACTTTCCTACAATCCAGCTAGCTCAGTTTTTAGTATTGTTTATAGCATTATTATATAGTCCAAAGTTAATTATCGAATTTTTCAATAAGATGCACACATGGTTTTCTCTAACTGCGTTTTAACTTATATAATCCTAATCGATTCATAACTCCTTTCTCAGTATTATCATAGTATCGTGTTTAATACATAAACAAAAATACCTGTTTTGATGCAAAAATAAGTCGCACAAAGCTAATCTTCTCGGTATAATTGATGTATTCAGGAAATTCTAAGGAACTCATACTTGATTACCATAGTTATTGTTCCAGAAAAATGGCACTATGACATAGTTTTTGTAAAAATACCCCCTGTGATCTACATCGGTATTTATCCGAAGATAGAATTATTAAAAGTGGTTCGAAAAATCCCCTCCAAACTGGCGCAAAATTAATAAGTTCACGTAATGCATTTTAAAAAGTACAAATGAGCTTAGCAAGACATTTTTTATTACCGAAAGTTCATTAATATTGGTAAGATAACAATAGTTTTTAAAGTTATAAAACAGTTTTGTAAAATACTAGGTGTATAGGAACAATGCTGTTAAGCAACTGATATTTTTTTATAGCAAAACATTTTAAAACTTAATCACTTAAGGGTAATCAGTCAGAAGATTTAGATAACTGGCTCAAAGGACACTTAAGTTAGAATCTTCAGCAATTTGGCTGAAAGATTATTGACTGGTTCCGTGTTTAATCCGTTGCCTGCATTTGTGTTTTTGGACAGGAGTGAATAGTGACGCTCCAACGCGACGGGTGCTTTGGACTCGGCTGAAGATTCCTTTCAAGGGCGCCGGATTCCGGTGGTGGAGCTCCTCGAATAACTGCCTTCGATGCTAGGGAATTCGCTTATCCAAAAGTTTTAGGGGCTTGGCTTGGCGCGGGCTCTCGTTAGTTAATGTTTCTTCTGGTGTCTGGTTACAGTTACTGTAAGTTTGCAGCTCCCAGCGCTTTGGCTTTTATACGATTCTCGGCGAGCGCGGAGCGGGTGCAACGCCCGTGGCACACGACCTGCACTCGCCGCCAGGTCGGGCGGAATTTTCCCACTCAACTACTGCCATCTAACAGTTCACAGAAAAATCACCGAACTCTCCAATTACGGTCTATAAAATTAACACTATATTTAGCCACAGTCGTCATCTCTCTAGGTCTAGACACCGGCGTCCGACCCAATTTACCCTGAAGCGTGCTAATACGAAATCGAAACCAGCTGGTTATGCTGATTCACTTCAATGTTTGCATATGTTTAAGTTCAGCATATTTGTTGGTTTTATTCACACTTGGACTTTGGCCACTATCCGTTAAATATTTTTATGGTCATTCACTTAACCAAAAATTGTGCGTGATCATCGTGAGTTAAGATTCATTCAGTCACAAAAGTAAAATTGCTCGAAATCTCGAAGATGACCATGAAAGGTAATATAGAAAATTGAAAAAAAACTTATCACAAAGTCAAAATCAATTTTAAAACCTTGTTTTAAATTTTAAAATACATACATTCATTTTAAAAACTAGATGCTTGACCAATTGATGGACCCATCTCTTTGTTAATATATTAAATATTTAAAAAATTTAATATTCTTTATAAAAGAATAGTTAATCTTTTATATAACAAATGATTAAGACGGTTGTTGGGATATTCTACTATAAGATTTTATGTAACAATTTAATTGCTTATTTTACAATAAGTAATTTTAATTGCACAAAGTTTATATAAATTTTAATTCTTGATTTTAAAACGATTTTTTCTCAGTGATCTCCCATATGAATTACCAAAAAATTAATATAATGCAAAACACTAAAGAACAAAAATAATTTTCAAGAGGGGATATGAGAGTTGAATCTTTGAAGATCTTCATTTGCTTTTCCTTACGCATTTTAGTTTTATATTTTTTTGCTTAGTTTTTAGTGTCGCAAAAGAATGATTTATGAAAAAAAACGAAAAAGTAAAAGAAATCCAAAAGAATACTACACTAAAAATGAAAGCAAAATTAAAAATATTTTTAGTTTCTGTTGTTTGTGTTATGCGAAGCAAACTCACGTGTATCCCCTCTTCAAAATTATTTATTTTCAGGCAGTATAAGAGTGTTTTGCGCCTGTGCCCCCCAAAAAATAGCGAAAGCAAACTGTGTAGGCCCAGATCTTAAATGCTCTAACCAAAAGCCCGCGCGATCCCGGCGAAACCCCGAAAAACACGAGGACGAATCAATCAAAGCAACCACGGTGTGGTCATTTCTGTACCGGTGTGCCGCTGCAGCTCCTGGTGCCGGCATGGGCGCCAACGTTTCGCAGCTGGAGCGGGAGATTGGCTCCGACCTGTTCCCGCCCAACGAGCACTACTTTGGGCTGGTGAACTTTGGGAACACCTGCTACAGCAACTCGGTGCTGCAGGCCCTCTACTTCTGCAAGCCGTTCCGCGAGAAGGTCCTCGAGTACAAGGCCAAGAACAAGCGGCCCAAGGAGACGCTGCTCTCCTGCCTGGCGGACCTCTTCTACAGCATTGCCACGCAAAAGAAGAAGGTGGGCTCGATTGCGCCCAAGAAGTTCATCACGCGGCTGCGCAAGGAGAAGGAGGAGTTCGACAACTACATGCAGCAGGATGCCCACGAGTTTCTCAACTTCCTGATCAACCACATCAACGAGATCATATTGGCGGAGCGGAATGCCGGGCCCAGCAATGGCAATGGCAATGCCAATCCCAAGTTCCACACCGGCGGAGCAGCCACCAGTGCCATGGCCAGCAGCACAGCCAGCAAGAGTAGCTCAACGTCCAACTCGAATTCCAATTCCAATTCGTCGACGAACTCGAATGGCAACAGTAGCAACTCCACGGGATCGCTAAATGCCACCACAAGTGTGCTGGATGCCAGTGGCAGTCTAACGGCTACCACAACGCCCATAATTGGATCAGGAGGGTCTGGGACTGGAACTGGGATAGGGATAGGGACCGGAACCAACGGGGCCAACTCGGAGCCAACCTGGGTGCACGAGATCTTCCAGGGCATCCTCACCTCGGAGACTAGGTGCCTCAACTGCGAGACGGTGAGCAGCAAGGATGAGAACTTCTTCGATCTGCAGGTGGACGTGGACCAGAACACCTCGATCACGCACTGTCTGCGGTGCTTTAGCAACACGGAGACCCTCTGTTCCGACAACAAATTCAAGTGCGACAATTGCTGCAGCTACCAGGAGGCGCAGAAGAGGATGCGGGTGAAGAAGCTGCCCATGATCCTGGCCCTGCATCTCAAGCGCTTCAAGTACATGGAGCAGTTCAACCGACACATCAAGGTCTCGCACAGGGTCGTCTTTCCCCTGGAACTCAGGCTGTTCAACACCTCCGACGATGCCGTGAATCCGGACAGACTCTACGACCTGACCGCCGTGGTCATACACTGCGGTTCCGGACCGAATCGGGGCCACTATATATCCATTGTGAAGAGCCACGGGCTGTGGCTGCTCTTCGACGACGATATGGTGGACAAAATAGAGGCCTCCACCATCGAGGATTTCTACGGACTGACCTCGGACATACACAAGTCCTCGGAGACGGGCTACATACTGTTCTATCAGTCGCGGGACTGCGCCTAATCACCTTATGTTATCTCCTCGTAGATGCTAAGTTTAAAGTTTCCACTCTCCTACGAACGAGTTGTTAGCGCTAAGTCCAAAATTTGATGACGTTTAACCAAGTCTATACTACCGAATAATCAATAAAGATGATCAATAAACAAAACTCGATTGCTCTAGGTCAGGGAGCCTTGGTTGGCTGTCAATCGGAGCCAGAATCTCTGCGCCGGTCGGTTCAGTCAACCCACAGGCCACTCACCTGGGGGCTTGCCAACTGCGAGCCAGTGCGCACGTAAACAAATGGGCGAGTTCCCGTGCCAAAGCGGTTTCATTGTGCGCCCAAGCTGGTAATTTGCGAGACACTAAGCTGAGCGCGCTTAGGTAACCCGGCGATCGTTGAATTTCATTAGAAATCCCCCCGCCAAAAGTTGGTTGGGTCGCGAGCCGTTGAGGCAACTCACTACCGGTCACACAGGTGCTTTGAGCCAGCCACTAATAGCCATCCTCTGGACACCTGGGATGAGCGAGGGGTCGGCGGACCAGCATAGTCGCACACTTAGTCACGGCGTCACAAGCACGTGACGCGTTTGCATATGCCATATTGGTCAATCGTATGGGAATGTGCAAATTCCGACCTGACCAATAAGCAGCATAAATCAAGTGCCACAATTGTCTGGAGTTTTGAGAAGAGTTACTCAACAGATTAGATCAAATGTGACACATCAAAGGCATTGAATTCCGGTTAGCACAACAAGTGTATATTGTTACTACGAAATTTTAATTGCTCTCGAAATGTTATGCACTGTTAGAATGTTCCAGAAGTTAACTATCTTTGCATTTGTGTTGAAAAAAGGGCTAATAGGTTGGTGCATATGAACTTAAAGAATGAAATAGTTCAATAATAAAAAGAAAATAATACTAAACCAAGTTTTAATATAAAATCACTTTTGTAAATAATAGTGTTTTATAAATAATTAAAAAAAAATAATTCAGTTTGTCAAAAAGTTTTAAAAAATCTAAGTATACAATGAAATTTTATCCCTGTCGTGGCTAATTACAGCAAATATCCATTGACTAAGTGAATTTTCAAAGTGTCTTTTAACGAATATCTGAATAAAAAATCTATTCATCCATAGGTAATGGCAAAAGCTTTCACATAAACACATTTCCTTCGAAAGAGGAGAAAACTGACATTGACAGTTTTGATGGTTATGCAAGAGAAACAACTTGGCCACTCAGCGATGCAACAGCGATTCAATTTTCATGTTTTTGTTATTTATTATTGTAAATTTCAAGGCTCTGCACATGCAATTGATGGTGTTGTTTTGGCCAGTTATCTATGCATTGGCAAATGACATCGTTAAGCAATGCCAATCCCACGGAAAGATTGTGAACACGAAAAACAGGTTAAACGGAAAGTGAGCCCAAACGCATATTTATGGGTTTTCTTAATGACGTTAAGTTGTTAAGTGTGGAATAAAGCGTATCTGCCTTGTTTTTAATTAATTAGATGAGGTTTGCAGTCAACATCCGAATTGGTTAACTCACGACCTTTATTAAATATGTGTAACCATTAAGCTATTAATATTAATTATCGCTTATATTGTTTTATTTCAAATAGTAGATAGGATTACGCCAATAAGTCATAATCATTCATTTTAATAATTCAGAAAGTCCTGTTTATTGATTATACGGCCGTCAATAGTAAATACCAAAATAATAAATAATTTGAAAAACTAATTTAAACTTATTTCTTTTAAAATCAATATTAAAAATAAATCCAATTATAAATTGGTTGATCAGCTAAATAAAAAGCTAACTTTTATCGCTCAAATCTTGTTTGCACAAATAAATTGAAAACGAATAAATTTCGGTTACGTTCTCAAAATACCAATTCGCAATGTCATTTACTGAAAAAGTCATTTTTACTTATCTTTAAGAGTATTAAGTGTTCGATGATGTTTCTTTTGCTCAATTTTAACAATTCTGTATGTCTTGTCATTGGAAAGATTTACCAATTTGTAAGCGTTAAACGCCATTGACAAGCGCGGAGTGAAAGATAGTTGCACGCAACGAGTGGCTGCGTAGGTTTTCAGTTTTCAGTTTTTTGTCGCCTGTCTTTATGCCCCCAGCTTGTGGCGCACTTGATCGATTGGTTTTATCTTATGGTGCGAGTAGACTGTTCCGCATTTTATGGAGCGGTAATTACGCATGATTTCGACTTTCACTTTATGACAAGAAAAACCACACTTGACGCAATTTCTTTTAGCATGTGAAAAATGTTCGTCTGGCATGCTTTCGGTATTGTTTTTCGGTCGCATCCGAGCTGAATTGACATTTGACATATTGCTGTTGTCAGGGTCTTCGGAGCAACATCTAAAAACACCAGCAGGAACACATCCATGTGGTTGTCGAGCCATGTGCCATGTTGCAACATTTCTCCGGTCTCCGCCCATCTGTTTCACTTTTATTTGGGCCGATTGTGAAATTGTCAATATGTTTTTATCGTTCCCGCTGGTTTGTTGTCAAACTAGGAAGCGATTCGCCTGCTGGTTTGTGTAATCGAATCAGCTTTTGTAGCGAAATCCATGTAAATCTCAATTTTGTGTCGGTTTCCCTTCAATGATTTCTGCTGTGAAAACTGAGCCTCTTTCGAGTCTGTTCTTCGGGGCTGAGTAAGCAAATAGTCCTCCATTTTCGTCGCCAGTCTTTAATTAGCTCGTTGGTCACATGTGACGCTCTGCAGCGACACCCTTTTCGCGGCGATCGTTCGAGATTTGTCATCGAGGGGCTGACATAATTACGGCCTGTTAGGAAATTAAATATGTCATTAAATACGCTTCTATAATATTTGCCTTTTCGGTTGGCAGAATGATAAATGACCAGTTGTAGTGAGGCATCTATCGGGGAACGCCTTAGGTAATATAAAACCTTCGAAGGTCTTTGTGTTTATCAAAAAGTAAAGTATTATGAATTTGCGTAGAAGTTTGTTAAGCTGAAGGAAAGAAAATATTATAACCAGTAAAATCACAATATGCCTTAACATTTTAAACGTCATTAAATCATCTTTGAGTTAATAAGGAATAAGTATTGTAAGCTCACTTACCCAGATTAGTATACCGCGCTAAAGCTTAAATGGTTAATTATATTAAATAAGTGACACACCACATTTACTGTTTTTCTATTCAGCTAATCGGATTACTGCAATTTGTTGAGATAATAATGAAAAGCAAATCATATCTTTACACTAAACTGACATGTTAAACATATAATTATTATTTAAACAGTATAACCATTTTAAACTTTATTGGAACTTGATTGAATTTATAACAATTTCTTAACAATAATGTTATTCTAAGATTGGGGCACTAAAATTCGGATTCGGATATTTGCTATCTCAAATTTAACTAGCATTTAAATAATAATAGTTTAGAGAAATATTATTTAGGTAGCATTTAAAAGTCATTATTATCATGTTTTATTCATACTGACATTAAAATTGTATGGCTGCCTCATCCTGGTTTGCAAAATTCTCTTTTTTGCGTCTCAGGCTGTGCGCAGAATTTTTCGCGCAGCATGGGATGAGTTGATGGCCCTTGTTCGGGAGCAAAGTGCAGTCCCGTGTTGGGGAGCGACTTCATCCAGCCTTCGTGGTTGTGGACCCACCGCAAGGAAATCGGAGCTGCACTTTTGTTTACTTTGGCAACTTATTTTTGTGCAAGACCATTAAAAAAGACGCTCATGCGGGAGGTCAAGCGTTGGATGCACAAAAGATATATGTATATACATATATCCGAGGGTGGATTATTTCATGCTAATTTGGTGCTGCCACAATTGGATCAGCAGCTGGGGGCAAATGGATTTGTCATACTTGACTTTGCAAATCGGTGGATGAGTCATTCCCTGCAATTGGGGAAAAAACAACTAAATTCAATTAGAATACAGACCGAACAATAAATAAGAAAGGGAAATTCTGGAACACACCTAAAAGTATGCCAAGAATCGTGGATTTTCCACCCAATATCTTTCTCTTTCGCCAGCTGAATTTCAATTATATTTTCTCTCATTGCGATCGGGCTGCTGTGTCTGGTATTTTAATTTATGGATTATGATCACGACCTCCTCGCCTTTTCATTTCAACCCCTTTCAACGCCCACGAAATTGGCATCCGCTGGTCTTTTGAAGCCGACAATAATTAATTGACAAATAAACGTAGCAGAAAACACAAAGCGACAAGTTTTGCGTTTGTTTTATATATACTTTTTCGTATCTACATGTAAACAAGCCAATTGTTGTTCATTGAAAGCGATATTTGAATTTGTTTTTTCCTTTTTTTTTTACATTCCCTGTCTGTTTGAGGTTGATTTAATCAACACACACTAAGGCACATTTGGGTTGGCTTTCGAAAACAGCTGATAATAGATAGGAGGTATATTTATTTACAGGGTGCTTTGTGCTGGGAATGCCGATGATTACTTAATGTTTTCAACTCATTCATGCCTTGCTATTGTCTCCGATTTGAATTTCTTGGGGGAAATTTATGCGCATTTATAATAGTTTTATTGGAAAATGTAGTACGCACGACTGACTGGTCTGTTTGTAATTGTTAATGAGCACTTGTGCGCACCCCCGTCCTTTAACCCCCCTCGAACTCCGACTCAGCGATATAGTTTTATGTCTGGTGTTGAGTTTCATGAGGGGGCATATGTTTGCTTTGGTTGCAGCACGTGCACATGCGTTCGTTGTATCGGGAACTCGATCTTCATCCTGCCGGAAGCCTCGTCTTCAGGCCCTTCTGGCTCTATTTACCACCCTTGAAGTGGCGGAGGGTTGTTTATTTGGCCGGACAAAGTAGGCACTTGGTTTCCACTTGAACAGCTTCATTAGTTGCGGAGATAAATCAAAATCTGCAGTTGATTTACTTCCCAGATGGTCGGTGCTTATCTCTTTGATTTATGCGGATGGAGAGAAAAATATTACAAATATTACAAATATTTTTCAACAATTTAAAAATTGTTTCATATCAACTTATCTATCTATGACAAGGCTATATGATAGATGGATTTTTAAAACTTAAATAGTATAATAAATATAATAGAAACAAATTGTGAATACAAATGCATTGAATGATGATCAATTACGCTGACTTATTTACTTATTTACTGTTGGTTTTTCGATAAGATTTAATTATAGATTAAAATTTTTTATAATTTGCAATCATAGATTGGGAAAAAATAAAGCATAACTAACCCGGAATTGTATTCAGTTTCCTAACGAGAAACTACACGATTTAATATTTTAATGTAGAAATGTAAAACAAAATGTGTTTATTTTAAATTTAAGTTAAACAAGGATATCTGGCAATGTTAACTAGCAAAAAATAAAAATATGTTTAAAAAATTAATTGCAAGTTCGCATCTACTTCAACCTTATGGTATCCAACGGTTTGCACTTGCCGCGCCACAGATGGCGGCATCAGCCGTATCCGTATCCGCATCCATGAAGTCCATGATGTCGCTCTCGATTTCACTTTTCGCTCGCACGCCCCTTCTTTTTGGGGTTAACTCTGCGATGCACATTGTATAATGTTCCGTGGGCTACTTCGTGCGTTTTCGGGCGCTTTTCATTCTTTTCACTCGGATACACCCCGAAGATACTCTGGGAGGTGCCCTCTCACAGATACTCTCGCGCACACAGAGGCCTCGTCGCTTTGTAGTCGTCGCTTCGCCTCTTTACCAGCGTATTTGTTGTTGTTGTTTCGTTGTATTTCGGACTGTCGTGGCCCGCTCGCGTATTTTCATTTTCAGTCAGTCTCCTTGGGCTGGTGCAACTGTGAAAATGTGCGCTGCGTGTCGGTTGTGAAGAAAGCCTTGCTTTGATTATTATCCATATATATTTTATTTTCCGTTTCACATTTCGCTTAATTTGTTTACGCGTACGTCGTTCGTCGTTCGTTCTTCGTTCGTCTGGTGTGAATAATATAATAATAAGCTCGTAGATACTTTGAGTGACGCAGCAGCCCAATCAAAGTGGAATCACTTAAACAGCATTAATTGTGCGTGGGCCAAGCCCCATTTAATAACCATTACCCCGAAAAAAAATACTCGTCAGATTGGCCATCTTAAGTGCATCGGAAGCCCAGAGAGTGTGTGTGCGTGTGTTTTGTTAGTGTCCGATACGAACAAAGGAACAAAAGTTCCTTTTGACATCGAACTTTTTGGATTATCTAATACGCAATCTGTTTTGGGGTAAAGTAAACGCCAGCATTTAACAATTATTTATGAGTTTTCTGCAGTAGGAAATGAGATCATCCGGAGTCAGGGCAAATATCTAATCGTCGTTTTCGGTTGTCAGTTGCATTTCTACCAGCTTAAGGGCTTATCTTATCATCAGGCATGCCAAAAACGTTTATTTACGCCAAATCAAAACGTTCGCCATTCCTGATAAGCTGCTGTCGCCTGTCAGTGGCAACTGTATCTTTGCATTTGCATCTGGTTCTGTTTTTAGCCAGCTTCGCAAATAGCTTTGACCTTTTCGCTAACCAAAAGACTTCCGTGTCGATATGCACACATGCGTTTGATGATTTCGTAATTACAATCGCCACAAAATAGAAACAGCATATCTGCATCTGCAACTACAGCCGCATCTGTAGATGCATTTCCTTGGGTTGCCTCATTTAATTGGCGGGCATCATGTACTCCACAGAAAGAGTTTTTACGCTAGCATTTTCTATGCGCAATGTAGGCCAGAAAGTACGTTGAACTAAAGTGAAATGCTTTCATTCCCCTAGAACAATGTGGAAAATATATATATAAATAAATATATATACACTTGTAAGAGAAGGCTTGCTTTTAAGTCGTTAAAGGGGAGTATCACTTTCATAACATCAGTTTGAAAATTTTAAAATTAAACTTTTTATTCCAAAAAAGTAGTAGTTATCCCTTGAACTTAAAAACATGCACATTTCCTACCAATCGCTGATTAACTCATCGATTCAACCCTTTGAAGATAGCTTATTTGTCATTTTCCATAGAATTCTCCTCTTTGCTGTGCCAACACCTAAACAAACATTTTGGAAGAATTCAAAATGTGATTGAACCTGCACGTACACCTTGCTCCAACTGGGAAGAACTGTACTTTCGCATCTCGGCTACATGCGCTATTTATTTTATTTTTGCCCCGGCCGCAATTGCAAGGTGCAAAGAGAAATCCAAGCGAGTTGCGTGCGAAATCGAAACGCAACTGCAATTTTCACAATATTTTGCAGTGCGTCGGCTCCTTTACTTTATGTTTACGATTATGAATTCAAGAACTTCATGGCTGATGGCAAATACAAGGCAGCTGGAGCATGGCCATGGACAAGTTGCCGCCGTGTTTATCGGAGCTGCTTAAATGCCGCATCGATGCGAGAGCACTTTTCTTTCGTTTTATTCCTCCTTGTGGCAGAGTGGTGTTGGTTTTTATTTTGGCCGCTTGCCAGATGTGGGAAGCCGTTTGGCATTTCCCGAGCCAGGTCCTTGGTGCGCCTGAGCACTTCTCGGTGGCATTCTGCCCGCTCCTCAGACTTTCCCTTTTTCGATATTAGCCCACAGTCCTGAGGGTTTCTTTTTGCGCATTTGGCCTCTGTGGGTGGTTTCCATTTTGCAAGTCTTTGTCTGCAACTTCACACTACGGAAAAAGCTGGTTTTGAAAACCCAGAATACAGGTTTTTGAAAATATGTGGTTGAAGGAATGTTTTTCTTGAAACTCGGTAAAAGTCATTTGTATCTCTCTAAAATTGAATACAAGAAATAAATTTTTCTATCAAATACGTATACAAAATGTTTATTTAACATTTTAAAATAATAATTTTTCTGTTTTAAAACGTGTGCGCAATTTGATAATGATTTCTTAAGTGTAGTCGAGAAACTATCAACATTCAAGCTATTTTTGGGCGTGTCCAAGACAATCGCAAGTGGTATTGTAGTTGCATTTCCCTGCTAGATAATACTAATACAAATATTATCTTTTGCTGATGTCAGGAATCTAATATGCCAGATATACCATATAATCTCATTATGCCAAGCACCTGGTGGATCTTTTTTTTTTTTGGCAAGCTCATGTGCGCTCTAGATAGATTTCAATAGCAAACATTATGACACATGCTCGCCAAAAGTCGGACGACAAGTTAATAATAATGAACTTGGCTACGTTTTTTCGGCTGGCGATTTAAATATAGACACCTGCGAACCTGGCCAAAGCTTCAAGGCAAAAGCCCCGTTCAGCAGGGAAAGCCATTTCCGTTTTCTTTGGAACAGTAAAATTATTTTGGGCGGAAGTTTAAGGCCATAAATTAGGCTCCTTGAGGGTTTGCCACTAACGCTTTTGCTAACGAGCTCCGACTGCAGTTAATTTGCGCGCTAACAAGGCAAAGGCAAAGGAATTGCATTCGAGGTTGGCGCAAACCGCAGGGGCATAAATCGCCGATGGCAACACCCAACTGCAGGTTTTGTTTTTTTTGTCTGTGTAGGGGATCATTTTAGGCATTTAGGCATTTTTCGTTGAAACTCCGCATTAAAAGTTTTGGGAAAACATAAAAGTCCCGAGCCGACTGCAGAAAACTCGTAAATTATTTTTATATGCATCCCACACCGAAATCGAATCAACAGACACAAAACTTTTTGTGCGCTGAACAGTGTAGCATACACATTGTGGGTTATTTATATATATATATAAAACTTAGTCCATGTGTCGTATAGAGAGAAAACTTACGCATCAAGCATAACAACATTTATAAATAGCGGAAAACTACGAAGAAATCAAAATGAAAAGTGCAGCATAGAAAACAAAACCGAAGGAGATCCAAACAAAATGTGCAACCAATCAATGGAGTTGAACCCCTTAAAAAAAAGAGCCAATAACTAAAAATATATAGAAAAGAGTGAGCGAAGCCAAAAAGAGACTCTGCCAAGAACTTGGCAACATCGCAGCGTTGGTCCGCAGAGGACTGGCCAAAAATAAACCGGCAGCAACATTCGCTTGCAACTAGATGTTGTTGCTGTTGCTCGCCTTCATCATGCGATTCGTAGACATTTCCAAACGCTGTGCGGCCTGCTCCAGGGCCGGAATCGATTGCCCGCACAACGGCAGCAGCAACAACAGCGATGCCAACGGCAACACTGCCTGCTGGCAACATGTTGCCGGTGCCACCAGCAACAGCAGCAGCACCAGCAGCGGCTGCGACAGCAACAGCTCCTCCAAGGAGAATTACTACGTGCCACAACAGCAGCAACATCGTCTGAGGGCAAAGCCCACTAGCAACATTGGCGTGACCCCGCAGCAACTGGAGCAGATACGCTTCTACCAGCGCATGCAGCAGCAGCAATTGCAACTGTTGCAGCAGCAATTGCTGCAGCGGCGACGTCTGCAACAACAATTGCTCCAACAGGGCGTGCCATCGCCTCCCGCGACAACAATTACTTCAGCGGGCCTCACATGCAATCAACAGTATTTGCGACAGCAGCGACTGCAGCAGCAACAGCAGCAGCGATATGTGGACCACAACAGCAACAGCAACAATGACAATGACTATCTGAACAACTATCTTAACAACAATATTAACAATCAAAACAATGGCAAAGTTGTGGGCCAAGGTGCGCAGTTGTTAAGTCTTAGCTTTTAAACCAAAATCTATAATATGTATACCCACTAAAATATAGAGTATGTTTATAGGTAATACGCGAAGTAGGAACATATTTAACTATTTTTTCTTAATATTTTTATATTCATTTATCTAAAAGTATTATGACATAATGATTAACGACAAAAGTAATTAATTCAAAGGCCGAGATTTGAGTCATTTTAGTTATTTTAAAAATAAAAACTCATTGGTTAAGAATAAGATTTACAAAGCCATTAACCACATTTATAAACTGTTTATACTGTTTAATATAAAGAATCCGTTTATTAAAGTCACATTTTTATAATATTTTGTCCATTTAATTCTTTTTAAGCTGTACAAGTTTTCTTAACATTTCTTAGTCATTAATAGGTAATTGTCTTAATTTGTTTTGCCTGCGTGAGTTAAATCATACTATTACAATGTCTCTCCTTGCGAAAAAGCGTCGTCAATATTGTTTTTTTCTTGGCCTCGCCCTGACGCAACGTCTTGAACATCTCACATCTCGAGACGGGCTTTTGTAATTTCAATTAACTTTAATTGAGCTCCGAGAGGCCGGCGGTTGGCACTGGGCCTGGCCATTGCTCCGATGCTGGACCACCCTCCCAGCACGACGCCTATATGCATCCCATATCTACACACAAAATGCATTAAAAAAATATTTTTATTTGTCCGTAATCTTGCACTGTCCCAAATATGAAATGACTTTCCATTTCATATTTTTTTTGTTTCGGGGAGGGAGAGGATGAAAGATAGCCGGGCGGGAAAGACATGTGCTTTGCCACTTGTCGGCTGTTGGAAAAGTTCCCTCAGACAGAGGGAAATCTTTTGGAAAACACAATCTCTTGTGTCTACACTTTCTGGGAGGTGGCGGCCGGATCCCCCCTTTTTTCTAGCATTTGATTTGTTTATGCGCCGAGTTAATTTTAAATTTAAATTCTGTACCCGATACCACAATGAATTGCATAAGGAAAGTCGGCTGGCAAATGCAATGCAATCGATAGCAATGCGGCAAAAGAGGGGGTTTTCCTAAGCACTGAATTACCGCCCTGAGACATGCAATACCATCAAGTTTAACCTTTAATTGCCGCTGGCGGACGGGCATTGCATGTTGCATGAAGCGCCTCGCAACAAGGGAAAATGTCACATTTTCCAATTGAACTTTTTAGGCGATGGCACAGAGCGATCCGATCTGATCCGATTCATGGGTGTGTGTGTTGAATCGTAAAAATCTCTCAGACGTATAAAAATAATTTTAACAACTTTCGTTTTGGAAAGAAAAAAGAAGGAGGGACGCGAAGCTGTCACCCAGATAGTGTCATTCTTATTTGCTAGAACAGGACTGGCATCGTAAAAATTAATTGAAACATGCCAACAATAGATGGGCGCCTCCGTCAGTCAGGTTTTTACGGTTCCGAAATGTGTGGCACGCTAATGTCCATTAGGGGACGGAAAGTGCAAATGAGAATGGGGAAGGATCATTAGCGGGAGTTAGTTTCGCCCCGGTGCTGTGGCATCTTAATTGAGCCAAGTTCAGTGTCAATGCCGATTAGAGAGCATTGGTAGACCCTTAGGTGGGATTAACGAGGTATTTTAATCAGCGAAACTAATCTGCACGTACCCTAAAAACAATGAGTATTTTTAATTATATCCGTGGGTTATAATATAGAAGTATAATTTACTATATATAAATGCCGTTTAAGATCAGGATTGAAATATTTTAATTATTTATTTTAAGAGTTGCCTAAAGTGGCATTACAATAAAATACTTGAGTTTTTATATAGAAGCTAAAATTATAATATATAAATATCGTTCAGGGCCAACAAATAAAACAATAATGATAGTTGTACTTTAAGTATTAAATCTGTCAAAGAACCACTTATTAATGATTACAATAAATTACTCTCCTTGCAGGAACCAAACTTCGACGTGGCATGACAGAATTCTCAACAAACAACGATCACGGCAAACCGCATTTCACCGCATCTCAGCAGAAACCGCTTCAGAACTCACCAATTCACCAGCAAGCATTCACCCCATCCAATCCCAACTCTCACCCACATTTGCTTCACCGCTTGGCCCAACAGCAACAGCAACAGCAGCAGCATCAACACCCACATAAATTTCAGCAGACCCTGCCCTTCAGCCAGCTAAACAACGGCAACAACACGGCTGCCCACATACTGCCCGGATCATCGCCACATTCCCCGCTCAGCTACCGGAATCCGCTGAACAGTCCCAGCAACTCGCCGTTCAGCAACACGGCGCAGACGACGACGACGATTGGGAAGCGGTACCAGCAGCAACAGCTGACCGATCGCCTGCTGCAGCAGCAACACCTGCAGCAGTGCCAGCAGCAGCAACTGCAATCGCTGGGCAGCGATGCGGAGGAGGATGCCGCCGGCGAGGAACTGAGCGAGGAAAGTCTCAAGCAGAATGTGGCCATTGTGCTGAGCAACTTGGATCGCTACAACAACGCGTTGCGGAGCATCATCCTGAATGAGCAGGTGAGCAGCAGCATCATCACTCCCAGCGACAGTCTACTGTTTGGCGAGGATTCGGGCGGTCTGCTCTATTGCGACAACGACAACGCCAGCAGGAAGCACCAGGGCAACAATAACTTTCTTCTGGGCAAGATGGCAGCCACACCGGAGTCGGACTACAACAGCAATGCGACCACGCCAGGCGCTCGCAGCAACGAGCAACAGTTGCAGCAGCAGCAGCAGCAACAACTTGGGGTAGGTGGGATGCTTTGTGGTGGTGGCGGGATGCGGGAAACTACTAATGGCGGTGGCAACAATCTCAACTGCTCGTTGGCCTCGTCGCACGACTTTACTCACGACAATTCCGATTACCAGTGGTTCCTGGACTACGGCTATCGAGATGGCTGTGGCGGCATGCAGCGCAGCGTGTTGAGTTCCCTCTCGGCCTCGTACAACGCCATGGGGGACCTGATCTACTACGAGGATCTGGCCAAGAATCTGGATGCCAATCTGGCCGAGGTGGATATGGAGAGCTTTCGGGCCGAGGACATACATTCCCTGCTCTCGCAACTGCCCGCTTATTGCAAGAGTCTGGGCGGGGCCAACAGTCGTCTGCAGCAATCGTTGCTCCTTCAGCAGCAGCAGCAGCAACAGCAGCAGCAGCAGCTGCAACAGCAACAAATATTGCACTGTAGTAACATGTTGCCGCACAACATGTCGCAGACGTCGACCACCTCCACCAACGAACTGATCGACAACTCCTTCTGCAAGTCGGAGCTGCTTTTTTCGCCGGTGCGGGAATCGCACATCTCGGTGGACTCACTGGACATGGACGCCTATCCGGATGACGGCGAGATCATACTCACCTGCAACAAGGACAACTACACGATCGCCTTCGAGGGCAGTGTGCTCTACTCGGACGACAGTTTCTATGGTATGTAATTGGAGTATTCACCTGAAAGTCATAGCTCAACAGTCAACAACTTTGATTTATAGCGGAACCAAGTGACATTGCCGCCAGGAACAAACAGAACTGCATCAACTTGCACAGCAATCTGGAGGACATTGTGAAGCGCAACAAGGCCCTGGAGGTATCCATGTCGCGTTCGGCCCAGGCCTTCCAGCCCCTCTGTCCCAATTCGCCCAGGGGACAGGCGGCCACAGCGGCAGCAGCTAATCTACAGCGGTAGGTTCACCGAAACATACACATTCCGCACCAGATTCGCACATAATCCCCAGGATTGGTTGTTGTCGGGAAGGGGTTGACTACTGTTAACTGATTACTGTTTACATCTGTCACTTAAAAGGCACCATCTTAAAGATAAGGATTAAAACCATTTTTAAATATTATTTTGTCCTAGTTAAACTAAATGGCAAGCAAAATCCGCCTCTAATTACTTTCGGAAAGGGGTAATATAAAAAAATCTTTCAATATAAATATGACTTAGTTAAACTAAATGGTAGAGAAAATCATACACACAAAAGGTTAAGCAATTATAAACATACAGTTTAGTCAGTTTAAGGAGATAGCTATACGGCTCTCAAGATAAAGTAAACTAAATATGAGATAACTATTAGATTGGCTGTTACGTGCAACTGCTGAATGCCAAACATCACCATCAAGACCGGCGGATGTTACATATTTTGCCCTTCCTTGCAGTATGTTATCATTGCAGTCGTGTGTGGGGTCATTTCAATTGAATTCAATTTAGTTCCATTTGCCTGTCGCCGGCTGAAACATTAGCGTATGCCAGCGTTTAGAGGGGAAATTTCAAATGGGAACTGGGTCTTTTTGGCGTATATTCCACGCGAGCATATGCCAACCTTCAAGGGCTTTAGCCTTTGGGTTGCTCAAAGTTAATCCCTCAAGAAAATCAATTACGGGAATCACCCGCACAACAACTCATTCACAAAACGATTAGGCAGGACAACAGAGAAAACCCTAAAATATTATGCAAATAAACCCAGGCCAGACGCCGGCAGGTAAAATAAGTCATAAAACCCGACAGCAACCAATCCACATACTTCCTACCTAAATCAATGAGAAAACCAAAAAACCAGAAAAAAGAAAACCTTCCGCCAACAAAATTGTAATCCCAAACGCTCGACGTGTCTGTTGTGGTAAAGACGCTCGTTATTTCTTGTTTCGCCCGCCCGCAGGTATCCCTCTGGGAACAACAACACGGAGACCATCACCCTGACCCGACACCTACCACAGTGCTCCGTGCGCAAGAGCAGCAGTCTGCCCAATCTGCAGAGCGAGGAGTCCATGGCGGGCAGCTGCCCGGAGGAGCAGCCATCGGGGGCATGTGGTCAGCCAGCGGTGGCGCCACTGAACGTCTCCCAGGCGATCAGCACCTCGACCATGGAGTCGTGCAAGTCGCGGTCCAGGAATCTGCTGCCCATGTGCCAGATGCCCATATCGATCAGTGTGTCCGTTTCGGAGCGACTGCAGCAGCAGGCCCAGGATCAGCAGGAGGTACCCATTCAGCAGTTCACACCCACATCCCAGCAGCCACAACAGCAGCAGCTGCAACAGCTGCACCACCACTCGCACCACCACCGCCACAAGCAGCGGTGCAGTTGCTCGCAGGAGAGCCAGAACTTCCATATTTCCGGATCGGCCTCCTCGGGCAACTCATCCAATCCGCCGGCCTTCAATCTAGTCAAGTTGTTCATCAAGCAGAAGAGCACCAACAGCAGTGGCGGCCAGGAGGACTTGGGGGCCCAGGCCAGTGCGCACACCTGCATGGACGTCTCCTCCGGCTGCTGGCCCTCCAGCGATGCGGCCAGCTCGAGCAGCGGATCCCTGGAGCAGCGGCTGCGCAAGAAGAGTATGAACGACTCGGGCAAGGGATCGGCAGTGAGTCGCCACGACGAGGAGGAGCACTATGCGGATACGGAGACGCCGCGGCGGCAGCTGAGGGCCCGATCCGAGGCAGTGTTCTACGAGGACGTGGCCACGTCCAGTTCGACGGGCTCGTTGACAGCGACCAACTCACCGGCGCATCGTCGTCGCAGCATGCCGCTACGCAATCCCCAGCTGTACCAGCTGGCCGCACAGGTGTCCACCGGCAGTCAGTTGTCCTCGGCGGCCAGCACGGAGCAGCTGACCCAGGTGCCACGGCGAGCGGAGGCGGGCTGTGGGTCCAGCACTCGTCCATTGTCGTGTGCCTCCAGCTCCGAGATGATCACACGCTCGATGCAGACATCCTGCGGATCTCTGAGCACCACCCGGAGCAGCCTGAGCGATCGCTATCGCTGTGTGCCACCCTCGTTCCTCGAGAAACTCAACAACCTGGGCGAACAGCGACAGGCGCCCATTTACGTGATCTATCCGAACTATGCCCTGCCCGATTTGGGATTCGTGAAGACCAATGCCAGCACTGAGGTGATCTTCTCGCCCTTCAACTACAAGATGACGCTGGATGGAGCTGGATCTGGAGCCGGTAGCACCAGCAGCTCGGGATCGCTGAAGAAGCAGCGCAGCAACAACCAGAGCGTGAGCGAGGATGAGATCCTGAAGACGCTGGACTACAAGCACATTGCCGACTGGCAGTCGCTGGCCACGCTGCTGCCGACGGAGTACCGCCGGCGGCTGCAGCACATTCCGGAGGTGAAGCAGCTGGTCAGGCAGCTGGATGCGGAGTTGTCACAGCGTCCGCTCTTCTGCATGTCGCCACCGCTGCGCCGGAATCGCACGCACATCTGTGACTGCGCCAAGTACTTCCAGGAGCAGGGTCAGGGCCAAGGGCAGGGGCAGACCCAAATGGACGAGGCCTCCAGCTCGGGTTCGAGTCAGCCGCCCAGCTCCGGCTACCGTGGCTCGTCCACGCTGCTCACCGACTCCGAGCTGGATGTTGATCCGCTGAAGCAGATGTACGTGTACCAGTACGATCAGCAGCGCATGGATTCGGGCGTGGAAACGAGTCCCGGCAGTCAGTTGACCCCCAACCCGCCGCAGCCCATGCCGCGGAGCATCCTGCGAAAGGCTCACTCCGCGCAGGCCCGCAACAAGCGCAATTCCATGATCGAGGCCCAGCAGACGCAGAAGCTGAGCAAGCTGGAGAAGCGTCGCAGTCTGCAGGAGCCGCCGCACAACTACGCACTGGGCTCCAACGACGAACTGGCCGATGTCTTCGAGGAGGAGGAGCACAGCCAGCAGCAGGAGCAGCGTGAGCAGCCGGTGAAGCAGAGGCTTTCCCGCAAGGATCTGGATGCCAGGGCTCGGGCCGAGAACTTCCTGGCCTCGTTGCCGCGCTCTGAGCTCAAGTACTATGCCGAGATCGCCTCCATCCTGGAGTCCTCCGGCGAGCAGGTGGCTTACGATGCCGCCGCCCTCAAGAAGGAGGTGAGCCGTGTGCTGAGCCAGCAGAAGAAGGTGTCCTTCAATGACGAGGGTGTGGCGGCCGGACTGCAGCCGCATGCCAAACGCTTTGCCACTCCCCCCAACTCCCCCAACATCTCTGTGGCGACGCTGAAACGCGATACATTGGACGTGCTGGAGCAGCGCAAGATCGAGAGCAATCGCTTCAAGCGCCTGCAGATCCAATGGGAGTTGATGAGCAAGGACTCCAGCATGCTGAAGGAGCTGGCCAGCGAGGCGGCCACCAAGAGCGGCGGCTCCACGCCCACCTCCGTGAATTCGACGGGCTCCAACTCGGCGCCAAGGTCAAGGATTCCACGGCCAGTGAGCTACCCAGCGGGCAGGTTAGTATTCTATATACTAAATTCGAAGTATGGAAGTGCAAATCGGTCAATTAAATGGAATAATAAACCGACTTGGAAATCCCTTGATGAAACTTACAAAATTATTTATTTTGAAAATTTTTTATGTTTACAAAATTTATTTCTTTTCATTTTTCGGCAAACCATCCGTCCCCATCCTTGCGTGAAATTATTATTTTGCATGATGTTGATTTGTTGTTTGTGGGTCTCTGATGCTTAGAAGTTCCACGCCCACTTCATCACGTACTGCCCCCGTTATGGCCACGCCCTCACCGGCTCGGCCCGCCACCCCCAAGACTGTCACTAAAAGCCACAACAAACCCGGTCTTTTTACCTCCCCCCGCCCAAGCAGGCTCACCAGCGCCCAGGAAGCAGCCGGCGGCTCCAAGGTCAGCACTCGATCGCCCAGCAGGATGGTGCAGCCGAAGCGTTACAGCCTGGCCGGCACGACCACGCCCACTTCCGCCACACCCGCTTCGGCCAGGGCGCGTACGCCCACCAATCGAGTGGCGGTCACCGCGCCAAATACGCCCAAACGTCAGGCGGTTACCCCATCGCCCAGGTAAGTGATGATGTTTGGAGGTGAAAGCTACATAGCAAGGATGATATTTTCAAATTATTATTACTTATGTTTTTTGAGATATATGTTATTCATTAATAATTTGGCAAGTTGAAGTTCATATACCCACGCAGCTAATTTAATAGAATATTCTTTAAAACGACCATGTTTTGATTTAGTAGCGTACGTTTGGAAACAACGAAGCTGAATTTTTCGTTTGTTCCTATGTCAGCTATATGGTTTCGATGTCCGATTTAAATAGAACTAATATTCGAACTCTAAAATAATTAACCAATCTTATAACTAAAAGCACATTCGTTTAAATTGAAAAAATAAATAAAAATTTAAGTCATATTTTTTTTAATTTATATTTTTTACTTCCTGAAATAAAAGGAAACTGTACCTGAGTGAACATTACACTCTGCTAGGGTATATTGAATAACTTCGAGATCAGATAACAAAAACCTAGTTTAATCAAATATAAAAATATTTTCATTACTCAGTCTTACAGTGTGGTTAGAAAACAAGTACAAATTTGTATCAAACATAATAGTAATATTATCAGCCTTTAAATGTGGTTTCCAAGCCCCTTACATTTCCAAATTATATATAACCCATATTTAATACTCTTATTCATTTTCAGACCCACCTCGCGAGTGCGTTGAGCGTCCACACGAGTCCAAGCGTCCAAGTCATCCCAATTAGTCAACGGCAGACAACAGACAGCAAACCCCAAACACCCCAAGAAACAAAAAAACAAAAAAAGGACAAAAAAGAAAACATATTCAAAACAACAAACAATGCAACATTGTAAAATTCTAGACTAAGGCTTTGTGTGCGGCTCGATTGCTTAGTTACTGTTGGCCCGGAAGTGATATTAAGATGGGAGAGCAGGGATCAGTGATTAGTGATCAGTGATTAGGGATCAGGGATCAAGGAGCGAGAACTGATAGCGAGATGTGCTGGTATCTTTTGATTGATTTTGTTGTCCTCATTTGCGTTGAGCAGACGTCTGCGAAAAGTAGCTAAATTTTCTTTTTTTACAAGTATATATAATGAAATCTATACATATGCCAAGTACGCGTAAATTAAACAAATATTTTGATGTATATACACACACAAACGGTATACAAACATATATGCGTAGACTCGCTTTTCCACTAGCTACTCAAAATGAAATGAAAAAGAAAACTTTGCTACCCACAGGAAAAAGTACTAAAGTGTATAAAATATTTTCTATACCCTATGCTAAAAGGCATATACAGTCAATACTCGAGCAGCAGCAACCACAGTAGTGGTCTACAATACACAAATTACTTGAATCATACCAAGCTGGGCAGAAAAATAAGATAAATTGGGTACCCATATACAATAAATGAAAAGCTCAAGAGCGGATCCAATCGATATTACGCCCCGGGTGCATTAGAATATACTTATTTTGTTGCTTTTTCATGCTCACGCTGATCCTCTCCTAAATTGAAAAAAAGGAGAATATTAAGGAAAGAATTTTCCATATGGCCTTTAAATCATAAGCGATTGGTTACAGAATGCTTCGCAGTTTTTAATTTGGATTTACTTGCAAACTCAATTTATGTTTGCGTTTTATGCTGGGACTTTCTTTTCGTTTATAACGAGCTTATGCTGTTGAGCCCTGGCTCAAAAGTGATTTCAAATTGTACGATATATGTTTACCGCTATACCTACTATTAATCTTACTATTCATTTGTATCTATTTAATGCCTATCACTCTGTCTATGACATAACTTTAATTGGTTATTTAACTGCTGGAAGACATCGTCTATTTTATAAGTCAAACACTTTCTATCCTTAATTGTATAGCTATTCTTATTGTATCATGTACAAGCAGAAGAAACACATATTATAGATTTGCGGGAGAATTTATCACCAAATGGATATGCGGGAGTATATTATGTATTAAACCGAAAATAAAAAATGTATAAAAATACAAAATCAATAAAAATATTAATAAACAAGCAAAAAGTATTACGAAAATAAAGTTGAATGCGTTGTTTTCCTACTTTTAAAGGGACGGTGCAGCCGTAGGCTAAAATGTTAATAAAAGTATGGTTAATCTATTTAATTTTAAAAGAATAATTTTCTTTGGTTTTTGCAATTTTAGCTTTATTATACCGTTTTGAACAGTTCGTCTCAAACAGTAATTTAGTTTCTATCCAAAAATTTCAAACTGTACACACTGTATAACAGCCCGCGTTATCTTGTAACAGTTACCATAAAACTGTATTTTTTGTTATACTGTCGTATGAAACCATTTCACTTTTTTGCTTCATGAGTTATTGGAATAAACTAAATGTGTTTAAATTGGATGTAAAACACAGGCATTTTTAATTTTTTTGAGTATAAAAGAAAAACTGAATTTTTTGAGACTTTCAAACTGGTTAAAGAGTATTAGTACTTATTACTTATCAAAATATTTACTTCAGTAAATAAAGAGCGAATTGTTAGTTTTTAATTTACAACAAACAATATTGTAGTAATTTCTAAAACAATCTCACAAGTTTGTATATATCCTTAATTTTTTGTTAGACTATTAAGTATCATGCCTTTTAAAATTCAAGTTGTGTGGCAAAAAGGTGCCAATAGCCTTACTTTAAGAATTAGTTTTACTAATATAACTAAATATAAATTAAATTCGTTGCCCTACGTATGCACGTTCTTGGACAAGAGAATCGCGAATTACGCGACCTTATTGATCAAAATTATGGTTTTTATTTTTTCCTCAACCTAAATCCGCTTAAATTCTTCTCAAGCTGTAAAGTTAATTTCCCTGCTTAGCTTTCTGAAACAGGAGCTAAGCCTGAACCCTTTTTGGCCCATTTAAAGCAACATTATTAAAAGTAATTGTAATTACCGAGGCATATGTTGCGCTATGCGTGTGTGTGGGTGTGCACACATAAGCATGGGCTGGATGCCTTTGCATACTTTTACCTAATTAAATAAAATAATGAAAACGCAAAAGTTGCAAAAGGCGCGAAAGTATGGCTGGAAAAGTTTCATAAGAAACACCCGTCGGTCGGGCCACCGAAAATCCTGCACATACGCAACTGTTCACACATTTGCCTTGAAATTGGAAAATAAAATTACGCAGAAATATTTCCAAATATTTATTGTGGAGCTCGGAACATGTGTGTGTGTGTGATTGTGTTAGCTTGATAATTATCATTAGCCATGTGGCAGTATTGCCACTTTTGCATTTTTGCTTTTTCACTTTTAAAATTCGAACCCTAAAATTCCTATTAAAATAGTGGGTTTTTTTTTAAATAAATTTTAAAAATCTCTGTTAAATGCTTACAATTTTAAAATCTTGTAACGTCTGCAGAAGTATATACATTTACATTGAATTTTTAAAATAAAAAATAGAATTGAATACTTCTGGAATTACAAAAATTATAAAGAAGTCCATGCTAAAAATATTTGAAAATGAAATCCTCTTTATACAAATGTAAAATGTTATTATGTTATTATTTTTCTGAATGTAAGACAAATCTTCTCAAAACAGACCTTAAGTTCTCTCAGTGTTTCTAAAACTTGTGCCAAGGCAAAGAAAAAAGATGCTGGAAAAGAAAAAGGGTGAATGTGTTGTTAAGCAAATATTTTCACTTTTCTTTTCGTCTTCGATTGAAACTTGTTGGCCATTAAGTTTGCTCATTTTGGCCGCGAGCAGCCAAAAATTTGCATATGGAATTTTATACTTGCTCGCTTTTGTGCGTGGCTCCGAATGTAATTAAAAGTTTTTTGTTTAAACTGTGAAAATATAACTGTAATTCTCAAGAGCAATGTCGCTGCTGTCAACGCTGTTATTGTCGCTATCCTCGTTTGTGTGTGACCGCCACCCCGCCTGTGCCACGCCCCCTCCCCCAAAAAAGACAAACAAAAAAGAATAAAACAGGAAAAATAACTCGGTCAAATAAATTTTGCTGTCAAGCGAAAAGCAAAAGTGCATAAAATATGCACATTGCACTGAGAATGAGGCCTACAGTATTTGCATTCACATATTTTTACTAAAATAATTACATGCACATGACCCGCCAGCACCACGAACAACAACAAGTTATGACTAAAGACATGCCCCGACAAAGGACATGAGATAGGCGGTCGCAGCATGTCCTTTTTTGGATCGAGCTGTCCTTTTTGGATCCAACACAGAGGGAGTAGTGCTCTTATTACATTCAGTTTGACGTAGTAAATTTCTAAAAATTATTTTTATTTTAAAAACCATGGGTATTACATTTTAAGCAAGTTTTATTTGAAAAATTAAAGTTATATAATCTGGGGTGTCATAGCTAACTCTATAGAAAAAAAAGTTAAAATGAATTAAAAAGATGTTCAAAAATAAATAAAAAATATTTTCGATAATTTTTATTAACATCGTAAAGAAGTAAATGCATGTCAAAAACATATCTATAACAGTATGTTATAAATAAATTATATAATTATTTATTTTTCTCAACCCGTTTTCTTCAAAATACCAATAAAACAATTAATTATGTGAAGATACATTTAAGTGTATTGTAGATATAAGGTTTCTTAACAAAATTTTGTACTAAAGTTATCATTTCCAGAAACCAGATTAAGTTCGGTATAAACTATTATAATGATTTGATTAACTCATTGTAAGGATATTTAATGTTTCGACATGTAAATGGGACATTTGCAACTGTCCTTTTCCTTGTGGTTTTTGGCAGTGCCAGGACACGCCACGTCGAATGCCAGAAGCGGGAAGCCAAACTTTTCCAGCGCCTTTGTTGCCGCCGTTTTGTTTGCCGCTTCTCCTGCCGGCAAGTGGCATCATTAGCCTGTAGTCCGTGGTCCGTGGTCCGTACCCCTTAACCCCTAGCCCGTTGTCCCAGACCCGAATCCCCGGATTCAGTGCCCCGTGGACACGCGATGCACGGGGCGACGCTTGGCAAACACACCGAATGCCAAAATGAAGCAATAAAAGGCCATAAAACGAAATGCAATTGATATACAAAAGGGAAATTGTAGACAACACGGCACACATTGTGTTGTGTGTTGTTTTGTGTCAGAGTGCCAAAGTGCCAAAGTGAAATGCTTTTGGCGAATTCGCCGCAGGGGTATCCCTCGAAAAAGAGCGCATGCTCGACAGTTGGCACCACTTCGGTGGGTTGGTGGTTGGGTGGTGTTGCAACCGCAGCGAAATCGTCGACCGCGATTTGGCCGGTGGGTCTGACCTAGTTCATAGTGCTGGCCATCCACCACCCACTGCATTGTTGATGCACACCCCACTTAGCAGACACTCGAGCTTTGTTTTGTTTGCTCTGCGGATGTTTGATTTTAAATTTTAATATACTCAAACACATCAGAAACGGGTGGGGAATTCAATTTCCTGTCGTCTGGCCTTGTTTAGCAGAAAGTAGAGCGATCAAAGCAAAATATGCTTTGAAATGCAGTGGTCTCCCATAGTTTATTTAATAAAAACTCCCTATTGTACAAGATGAATTTGTTTCTTAAAGTGCATTTTTACTTTTCAAATATAAATTTTGAATGTGTATATGTGTATATTTGCACAATTTATTCATGTTTCTGAAATAGTTTTTTTCTTAAAATGTTCATTGTCGTTTCAACATAGTTTGTTTAATATAGTATATTTAATAGTACGAACAACATAAATATCGGTTCTACGGATCAGTACAAATTCTTCAGAACAAAACCAACAACATCAATTTGCAATAGTCAAGCTTTAAAATAAATATAAATGAACTGCGAAGGTAAGTTTTATTCAAATTATTTGCATAAATAAAGCACTCGTGTTCTTAGCTTCAGAAAATTAAATTAACCCGTTCAATATGACAGAAAAAAACAAAAAATGGCAACTCAGCACAGAAAAAGCTGGTCAGAGTGAGAAATTAAAAGGACCGCCTTTATGAACGTACATGTATAAATTTAACGACATGAAATACCAAAATCTAGGCACCCAAATACATCCAATAGTAAAGTGACCACTGTATGAATGCATGTTCTCTGAAGTTTCCTGCTCTTTTCACTTGAGGTCAGGGATTTTTAAAATTTTATTTTTTACTTTTTTAGTGCCAGGCAAATTCCCACATGCACTTTGGCTCACTTTCGCCAGGTGAGGGTATGGCTGGCCATACACAAAATATGCAAACAATTTTCAATTAAAAATCAATTTTATGCTTCAACTGCGACTAAGTGCAAAATAGTTGTTGGTATTCGTCGTTGTGTTGCACGCTCCTTTTGCAGGTTCATAAAATGCGCAAACATTAAGCCAAAGTTTTCAAACCAAGCTATTACCATCCCCTCCCCGCTGTGGCATCTTTCAAGTTGCAGCCGCAAAACTAAAGAAAAATCTATTGGGAAAATTAAGAAAAATACTTGAAATTGGTGCAGCTGTCAAAAGGCTTAACGCACGAAATTTGCCATAAAGTTTTTGCCAGTTATTCGGACCGGCGGGGAGTGGGCCAAAGTGGCGGTCAGGGTTAAGAGTAACAGCAGCTGTTGGCGGAAGCCATCTGACGAACTTGACATGCAGCCAAAGTTGAAGCGGAAAACCAGCAAGTGGCTGTCAATGTTTCCCCTGACCCTCGCGGGCGGCTCAGCTACACTGGGGGAAAATATTACTAAGATTTGTAATTAATTTTTGAGTATTCCTAATGGAAATTAATTTTATATTTGACAATTTCCAAACCTCACAAACTAAGATTTACATATTGAAGATATAATTATTTATTTAGAAAAACTGAACTCCTTAAGCAAAAAGACTAAAAATGTTTAATGTTTATTAATATTAAATTTTCAAAATTGAAAAAGTATTTGTAAGATTTACATATTGAAGATATAAATTATTCATTTAGAAAAAACTGAACTCTTTATATGTTCCTTAAACAACAAAAAAATATATAATTAAATTTTTAAATTTTTTTATATTTTTCTTGCCAGCTTCAAGTAGCACATTTGTTTTCT